GTTGTAAAGTATCTACATTTTTGTGTACACCTTATTTTGGTTATTATCTATACATGCGTAATTTCAACCAACACGTGAATAGTTCGATTGGTCTAGCGGAGCCGTGCGTTGAGTTAGTATCTTGCGTCGATGTGTATTGGTTCTAATCCCGCATACTATTAAGGGTCACGCTTTTTGCTGATTTTTTTCTCGATTTTCTTGTTTGTAATAATTTTTCACAAATATCTTTTTTATTTTCTTATTTTTGATATAATCATAATCCAATTTTGTTTTTTTTTTTTAGTAAAAAGAAACGGTTGGCATTCAATCCGTCAGCAGATGAATTATCGGAGAAAACTTTTCATGAGTAAGCTTTTACATACATGGTGTTACAGAATAATTCTAATTTATCAACTCAGAATTACTTCTCAAAAATGAATAAGTGGGTTTAGGCGCTATAAATTACCAAAATGCCAACAATATAAATTGAATAAATCCGCATACAAAATTTTCTAAATCCCAAATGCAAATTACTTAAGATGCAAATTGTTAGAATTCATTTTCTCAAAAAAAAAAAAAACACATGATATAAAAATAACTATGATTATTTCAATAAAAATTGTTTCAATTTTAGATTACAAAAAAGACTCTGAGCACGAAAACCCTGGGACATCACTTTCAATTGCATTAGGGGGCGTCCATAAATTACGTGAGGTGTTTTTTTAAATGTTCTGTCCCTCCACCCGCCCCTGGTGAGATATCGTGAGATTTCATTCAAACCCCTCCCCCATCCCCCGATCTCACGTGAGATTTTTCAAAATGTGGGTTTCTTACGTTAAACGCGTTGGATTGTTATTGTAAAAGGAAAAAAAATCCTTCGTGCTTTTATTTACGACTAGTTAAGACTAAAAATATTGATTAAATCAATATTGCTGAGAGTTTTTAAGTGTAATAAAAATATAACAATAGAATACTTAAATCGTGACTACTGTGATTAAAAAGTAGTATATCTACACTAATTCAGTCCATGGAGAATCATGCGTGGTCTCAAGAGAGACTATTGGAACCAACATGTTCATATGATTTTCAGTAAAATCATCTGCTCCTTCAATTTCGTTCTGATCTAGCCACTCTAAGCCGTTGGCGCTTGCGCACAGTAGCTCATTAGCTCGTCTTGTGACAATCTGTGAAGGTCGCACTTTGCGGAACATACGCGCTTGCTTGTGGATTGCTCGCCTGTGATCTGCAGCTCTTGTGATAGATGCAATAATAGATTTATATATTGAGCAAAAAATAGATTTATGCATTTTATTGATTAATCTAATACTAATATTTCAAGAGTTATTGCCCGCGATAGAAAAACCGTTTCATTAAATGGGCCATAAATCGTAAACGGTAAGTTTTACAAAAAAGTTTACTGGAAACAAAAGATGCGAAATTTTATTTGCTACAATAATGGTTTCTATAACTTTTACCTTAAAGTGCATAGTTTCCGAGATATCGGCTGAAAACGTTTTTCCAAGATGGCGCCGACCCAAGCGCCACCTGGATCTGTCAGCATTTTGTGATTTTATGCTGAGTAAGTGATCCCAAACCTTATAAAAAAATTAAATTGGATCGGTATGTCGACACCATGTATAAAAATTGCAGAAGTATTTAAAATATAATAAAATTAACATTAGAGTACAAATAACTTTATTCCTGTATTGTGATTTGAAATCATAACAAAATAAGAATTAACGTAGTATGTCATTTCGTAAAAATATTTATCAATATGTACAAGGACACATTGTTTTATGAGTATAAAAATTGTTGCAGAATCGTCTAGTTGTATGTATAATCTAATAATAAATGCAATTTTGTAGCGACGGTTGCGGAACTGTAGAAGTAACAAAATATAACACTTATTGACTCAATCTACAACTGTAAAGTTATCATGCACACAATATGCAACCAAATATTTGAACAAATTATACTATTAATCAAAAACTTGTTTAAACCTCATATCGTAAACAATTATGTACATATTATTTAAGCAAATGAGACAAGTAGTATAACAATAAATACCTATACAGATAATTGTACACTGATTTAACAGGCAAGATTTCAAAATGTTTTAAAGTACAAGTTACATCTCACGTACATATCAACTTGATCAGAATAGTTGTGTAACACTGGGGGGAACCTTATTCTGCTATGAGATGTTTGACATTGTATTAGAAAATATATAGACATCGATTAAAAGCCAATGTCTTATTTATGGTAACTTTTTTACGTTACAGTTGGCGAGTGATTCCCACCAGCTATACAATCGCGTTGCATTTCTTGTATTACTTGTTAAGTAAGTAATAAATGCTTTCAAATATCATTTGATATTGCGGTGATGTTTGCTGTGCTTGTGCGTGAAATAAGATTAATTAAATCATATCAAAAATTACTGTAAAATTGAGTGATATTAACCTCTCTGTCCCCAAGCGATCAAATCCGACCGCGACGCTATTCCGTCAAAATTCAAGCGGTCGGATTCGACCGCGCATACCCACAGCATTTCATACCATTACAAATTTATGTTTAGAGACTACTTTTCTATGAAGAAGTTTGGCAATATAGAATCAATATGAAATTTTCTATCCTAGTCTTTTTGTAATGAAGTAAAACCTGACTTTTATATAGAGAATTTTGTATAGATTTTATAATGCCAAACTTCTTCATAGAAAAGTAGTCTCTAAATATAAGTTTTAATGGTTTTAAGTGCTGCGAGTGGGTGCGGTCGCATGCGACCGCTCGGGATTTTCCGGGCGCATGCGACTGCATGGGCTTTTTGTTGGGATTGAGGAGTTAATAAAATGTAAAAGAAAATAATAATACAAATTGTTATTAATTTACATTACAGATATTATTGGAATCATTTTTATCAATATGTGATGTAGTGTTCTTTCTAGACATAAAGGGATTATAAAGTGATTTTTCATTTAAAAAATAAAACATATCAAAATGGTTGTGAATAAATATGCCAGTAACAATTAATTAAATTACATATTACGTGTCAACAATAAAAATATTGTTAAAATTAGATAACATTAATTGTCACCTACACCAATTTCAATGGGTGCGTTTGGCAGAAAAAAGCGCTAGCAAGCGCTTACAAGCGCTGAAATAGTTTTCGGCCAGGACACGATTGCTACTTCAGTAGCGCTGACACAATCCGCCATTTTGCTTATTTAATTTGTTTGTTTTGAAGTAGAGTTTATAAGTTGTTTTGTGCAATATTTTAGTTTTATTAGTAATATAATGACTGAATAAACATATACATGTTATTAAAAATTCATGATTGGCAAGTTTTTAATATGAATACTTTACAAACATATGTTTAAATTAGGTTAAGTTCCCCGGTTAAAACTAACATCGTGTCCTGGAGGAAAATAGCTGCTTACGATTTGACAGCGCTTACCGTTTACGATCGCCATTTTGCTTACAAGCGCTTGCTAGCGCTTTTTTCTGCCAAACGCACCCAATGTTTCAAAAATTGTGTAAGAGCAACGGAGGACAGAAAATTTTCTGTTACAAGTGAACTGTCTTGGCTACGCCTAAATTAATACTAAAGATTATTTTAAGTTTACATAGATTCAAATAATGCAACCATATCTCTACAGCTAAGACCAAAAAAGAATATAGCATGCACTTATGTAAGTACTCATATTATGTATCTAAAAACATTTACATAATCGACAACATGTGTGTTAACACTTGAAGTGTAAGCAGTACTCCGTATTTCTGTGTTGGTCCTAGCTCTACAATAATAATAATTAATGTCATTAAAATGAAATAGAATTTGTTCATTACCGCCTTTCTGTGCACATTCGGTTCACTTTAAAATTAAATTAATATGAACAGTAAATACCATTTAGATCAGTACAACAAATATATTGTGAACACTATATGTATATAACTATGTATATAAAAGGTTTATTACGATCACACCCGCCTCGTTTAAATACACGCTTTAATTTAATATTCATTTTTAGGATAATAAGCATAGGTTACGACTGGTTTTCAATTTCATCAGAATTACTTATTAAAATATTAATTGTTATTTATGATATAAAATTATTTCGTATGTTATATTTGTACAGCAATAGTTTGTAAATACAAGTAAGTAACAAGTTGCCAAATTTAAAAAAAAATAAAAGTTAACAATAAAACAGAATGTGGTTCAAGTGTTGGGGCACAAGGTTTTTTTAACTTACGTTACCATTAAATTACATTAAAAGTAATAATATAAGTACACATATTAATTGTAAAATAAATGTAATTTTTGAGCTATGTATGGTAAGTTTTAACTAGCGTAAAATTCTAGCTCTGTGGTTTTGGTCTACATTATCTAATATTGGAGTTTTTTTTTCAGTTGTGATGCATTGAATTTTTATACTACCAATTAGTAGTTTTTATACAGTTATAACGTAATTCTTATTACAATATTTTAATATTAAACAACAACACATATCTTTGTTGCTCATGACATTATATTTCAAACCATAGAATTACAGGGCAGATTTAAAGCTACATGCTGCAAGTAAGTATATTCATAAGTACATACTTAATAGTAATTATTTCTCACATGTTTTATAAATTCGAGAATTATGATCAAATCTACTATCTATTACTTCAAATGTTATACAAGTTTTTTTTTAAATGTAAATTTAAAAATCCGCACATAAATAATCAAAATGATAGATTCGAAACCGTAAATCATACATCTAAATATTAAAAATTAAGTAAATAGGGGCGGCCTTTGTGGTAACTACATTAAAGGCAGTTTTCAATCTTGCCAAAATAGAATTGTACTTAAGTACTGTACACATTATACAAAAATAATACTTTTAAATTCTTAACTGGTCACATAGCTGATGTTTTCTATGTTTAGCAACTGTACATTGTGTCTTATTATATAAAATTTGAACACGTTAAATTTCAATACACTGGTAAAATTAAAATTTGAAGGCCATATAACAGGAAGTACTTTAATTGACGAGTCCAGCATCTTTAGCCATGCTATAGAAGATAGAGTTCTTATCCTGGAGCAATTGCTCTGGGGGCGCATACTCCACTAGCTGTCCTTTATCAAGAACCATAACGCGTGTAGAATCCATGATGGTGTTGAGGCGATGAGCGATGGTAAGGACAGTGCACGACGCAAATTCTGAACGAATTGTTTTCTGCAAATCGAAAATATACACGTTTCAGAATTAATATCATTTTATTTAGTATAAAAGTTGTTGAGTTTTGAAGCCACTTGAACCAATATCAAAATGGTTTAAAACTAAGATAATGAAGAAACTTTTCTTATGCGTTAGTTAAACAATTATTTAATATGTATTATAATTTATTTATAAAAAATAACATAAATTATAATACATATTATTTATAAAGTTGTACTACATATAACAGCATTTCAACAGTCAACTACTGAACGTAGGTCTCCCTAATAGATCATAGGGGGGGGATATTTGCCATAGTTGCTACGCTTGGCAAGCGGGCTGGCAACCGTTTTTTTTTTATTTAACTGTTATCAGTAAGATCCTGCTGCCCGTCTCCTGGTTCAGTATCCCTCTGTCGCCCCTAACGATACGGGATGATATAGGGCAGTGTATATTCTTACATCGCCCCAACACGCCACTATACAACATGTAACATAATTAACGCACTTTGAGAAAGTAGTTTGTTCAGAATCGTTTACTGAACGATTCCTATCATTTTTAATATGGGTAATTTTTTATCCCAAAAATAATTAAAACTATGTAAATTACAGTCACACTAAATCTGTACAGTCAAAACAAACTGAAATGGACCTTAACTTAAGGCAATATGACTGTTATGAGTGCAGTTTTATTTGTATTGTTACTAATTCGGTCATTCAATAAAAATAAAGAAAAATGAACTTTATTTCAAGCACGTTAAAGTCTTTGCGTTCGTGGATTTGTACTGTGACCACAACATTTTTCCGGAATTAGTATAACTAATTTGATAAATAATCAGTGCATAAAAATGTTTAACTAAAAATTCAGTGTATGTATTATGATTATAAAATAATATACTAATTGGGGTGTCTGAGGGTGTGCGTTAATTACGTTACATAGTGTATATCTTACATACTTCGACACAAATATATAAATTTTCACGCCTATCACCCATATCGCTACCGGTAAGGTAAGTTAAGACACTAGAGACTCTCATTTGGCACGACCCTGACACACCTCATCGTTTCTTTGACATCCATATGACTACGTACTTGCACGCTCATCATACTTGTACTCTTAACTTGGCCTATATTTAACATATGGCCAATTTAGTCGACAAACTTCTGTCTGGGTAGTCCTTCGCCGACTGCCACTTACACTTACTTTCATCCCTATATATAAAAATCAATTAGTTACTGATTTTGTATTTTTATATATGTTTCAGTTCTGGTATCTGGATGGTTTAGATTCACATTTGGACCCGGTAGGTGGCGCTGTTGTCAGTAAATAGCAAGCATTTTTTTATTATGTTGTTTGTTAGTAAATAATATATAGCGTATCTTTTGAAATTTTAACAGTAGTCTCTTTCTATATCCTCCATTATATCACAATGTCCTTAAACAAACCAGGATTACAGAAAGGCCCAAAGAATGTCTGGTCCTTTTGAATTTTATAAGCTTAGCTTAATCTCAGCCCTATACAACAATAAATTCAAACCAAACTTTATGCTAAGCATATACGCTTTTATAAGTTTTTGGTAATGAAAGTGTGAAAGTGTTTTAAATAATATATAGCGCTGTTGTCAGTAAATAACAAACATTTTTGTTATTATGTTGTTTATTACCTATGAAATTGCCGTTTTTTATGAAGTAAGTTAACGTAATTTTTTTTCTATATTTTTATTGCTATTAATCAAAGTAGTCACACATGCGATCGCTGCATCTTTGCCAACACAGTGGCAGTTTATTGACGTCCTTCTTGAACAAATCAGCTGGGTGGGTATTGAAATTTTTCCCGCCAAAAAGTTATCCGAATTCTGGTAAAAGTAGAAGTCTGTTGGCGCAAGGTCTGGTGAGTACTGCGGATGACGGAGAGTTTCCAACCCCAGCTCTTGTAATTCGGAGGCCGCCTGTAGCGCAGTATGAGGTCGCACGTTGTCGTGTAGGAAGAACGGGGACGAGCGATTGACCAAAGCTGATTGGAGACGGTCGAGCTTCTCCATTATTTTGTTCAGTTCTTCACAGTACACATCTGCAGTAATGCTCATCCCGTTTGGTAAGAAACCGTAATGAATCACACGGCGCTAGACCACCAAGCAGTTATAATCACTTTTTTAGGGGTAAGTTTTCGTTTAAGGCATTGTATAGGTGCTGAACCCGGATCCAACCCAGTTGCTGAGCGCTTGCGACTGTCATACAGAATTCATTTTTCGTCGCAGGTAACAATGCGGGCCAAAATACATTCGCGCGTTGTCGTGCAGGAAGTAAAAAGTGTGTGTGTGCCTGTGGAGCACTGTAAAGCACGTCTCGACGTGTACTTCGCGTTGGCGATCATTGTGTTCGTAGGGTATCCATTTGTCAAGCGTTTTTGCCAATTTGACGCAAATGTACCAATACTGCTTTGATGATAACATCGAAAGCTGCTGCTAATTCAGCCGTAGATTGAGTATCATCAGCTACCACAATCGCCTTTAATTAGTCTTCAGTCAATTCAATTTCAATTCAATTACTCGAATTTTTAATGTATCCATGATGACGAAAAATATTCAAATGCGATGAGAACATAAACGCTAATCAATAAACAAAATAACGAATTTTGAAAAAAGTATTTGAAATTAGTATTCTTAGCCAAACAAAAATTATTTGAAAATAGAGCCAAGCTTTGTACAAACGAAGTTTGAGGTTGTCGGCTACGCCAAAAAAAGTTATGATCTGAACAGGCACCCAGCTCTATAAGCAGTCGCTTAAACCATCGGATCTACAGAAATGTACAATGAAGTTGCTTTCGTTTCCGAATTATATTGAACTCGTTTTTAAGTTTAATTAATATTTTCCCCACTTGTCTTTTTATTTGTACAAGCAAAATGAAAAAAAAAACCCGAGATCTATGCCTGTTCCAAGTTATAACTATATTAGTTATTTTTTTGCAAAAAAGTTCACACTGCAGGATGCACTTGTAGCGATTAGGATTACATCTTCACGAGCTGACAGGGACAATTACATTGAGCCACACATACGCACAGACTCACACATGCACACTCGCAAACAAGGATTAGACAATTTTAATAACCAGTCTCACTAATTGATCTTAGCATATTACCAATATTAAGCTTTATTTGAGGTTTACATTTGAATTTGTGATAGATACCAAAAAAAAAACTCATTTATTATTAATTTCAATAAATTCGCATGCAAAATAAAAATAATTAAATCAAAGAATTGGCCGTGAAGTAGGTCTGTGGGTCTCGCAATAAGCGACAGGGGAAAACATAGTAGGAGATGGATGGCAGGGTCTTTTTGATAATAACTAAACGTAATAAAAACACTGCGATTCAATAGGAGTCAACCCGCGTGCAAAATATGGCACCTATTGCAAAATTCCCTTTATGTGATAATCATCTGAGTAACCTATATTCGGCAGTGGATTTTAATAGGCTGTAATGAATCGTGGAGAATAAAGGAATTATGACGTCACCGCGCACACTAAGTACACGAATCTAACTCCCTATAGATTACATCATAGGAGGGATATTCGTCGTAGTAACCACGCTTCGTTGTTGTTATTTTCTAGTTCTTAAGCAGTCGCTATCGCACGTCTGGTACGTTTCTCTGTGTCGTATCTTGCGACACCCGTGGGTTGGTGTAGCGTCACTACACGAAAGTTCTTCGTTTTAGTCCTTAGGGATGACAACGTATCTGCATGTTACCAATGGATTTGAAACCATCGACACCTATACAATATATTATTATACATACATACATGATTATGAGAATAATAAATCATAAAACCATGGAGCAACATATTATGTAAAAATAATAAGATTTGTGGGTAATCGTAATAGCATTATAAGCTATAAAAGCTACTGCTATATCTTAGTGGGCGTTCAGTTGTGAGTTTCCTGCCTACAAGTTAGTTGCTCTGCTCGAACCTGTGATCATTTACATTAAGTAGAGAATAATATATAATTACTGTGATTCGTTCGTTGATCAAGTGAATAAAAAGTGCTACTGTGTAATCTGTTTTACTTCATATCTACTAATTAAAATGCATTTTCATTTTTAATCGAAGGTATCTCTACTCAGCGTCTGGTGGAGTGTGCGGTCGTTGGTGACAGTTAGAAGTTTTTTTTTGTTTGTTTTTTTTTCTATATATAGAAGAGGGGGCAAACGAGCATGCGGCTCACCTGATGTTAAGTGACTACCGCAAACAAAAGCATGTGCGTGGTCGTGGGTAGTGGGTACCTGTATGAGCTCGTCGGTCTCGAGGTCGACGGCGGCGGTGGCCTCGTCCAGCACCAGCAGCGGCGTCTTGCGCAGTAGCGCGCGCGCCAGGCACACGAGCTGGCGCTGCCCCACCGACAGGTTCTCGCCGCCCTCCGCCACCTCGTGCCGCAGCCCGGCAGCTAGACCTGCGTCGGCAACATCAACTTATAGCCTGACTTCTTCCTTTTCATTTCAGGCAGTTTTACGACAACGAAACGTATGCTTTGCTATATACTGTTACGAGTTTGGGGTTCGTGACTATAAAAACTGCCGATTGAATTACTGTGTAATTGCTGTTATCAGAAAGATGCTGATGCCCATCTGCCTGTCTCCCTCTGTCGCCTCTTACGACATCCACGGGAAGATAGAGGGTAGTGGATATTCTCAACCGCCACACGGCAAGCACTGGCAAATAGCTGATGTTGATGCTGAAGGAGTTACTTAGACTATTTTTATTTTGGAAAAGGAATTAAGGTTCGACGCAAAAACATTAAAACTCATGACATGTAATGAAAACCACGCGACCGAAGTCGCGGGGAACAGCTAGAAAGTAAATAAACCAATACTGCTGCTTTCAAAGCACTAGTGTTTCTTTACTAACATATGGAATGCGGTAAGTGTTTTTTTTTATAGGATAGGGTGACAAACGAGCACACAGTCCACCTGATGGTAATTGGTAAGTGATTGGTGCGGCCCATAGACATCTACATCTATCCTCGATTACAAATCAAAATGCAGATGCGTTGTCACCCGTGAGGACTAAGATGGAATGCCTCGTTTTCAGTGAAAAGGGTCTCCGGTTCTCTACACTCATCATACGAAACACAACAACAGCTGCTATTTGACGCTGGTATTCTGTGAGAGCGTGGTCCTTCCCCGGTCGAGCAAACCCATTCGTGCTACAACTATAATACTAATGTAACTGCAGCATGGCTCTACCACGTAAAACGACCTAATTACTATAATGATAATATCTGTAATATTGACAGTTGCGAATGATTATGAATACCGATTTAGAAATTACTATAAAATTAACCATTTTATATAGTTTTAATTGAATCAGGCATTACTTTGCGGAAATCATCTGTAATCAAATATTGAAATTGTTAAAGCTCATTTCCGCGTAATGAAATAAAATGATGTGTCGTGACCAGTGTGAAGAGCACCTCCAACCCTCCTTCAAATGAGTGCACTATCTCACCACCACACCGGTAACGACACACCCTCGACATCATACTGGGTAGAACACATCATTTATTTCATGCGCGGAAATGACCAAATCAAGTTCTAACAACTTTGATATAGTTTTGCCGAGTGCATCTGACTTCTGTATTACCATGCAAAAGATTAAAGTAAATTTTGATATTCAAAAGTAATACGATTGCGATTATGTATCGTATGTGTACATGCATGTGAACATTAATCTAGATAATATATTGCCTATGTTCAGCAGGGGATTTTGAATAGGTGTTAACAGTAACGGTTGCTCGATTATTTCTTTAACCTTATCCAATAATATATACAATTTGTAAACTATCAGATTACTTACATAAATGTGAATTCAGTATTATTAACTAATCCAGAAGAAGCACGAGAGTAGAATAAATGCAGTAGAAATGCGGTCGCTAAGGAGTATGTTAGGGCTGAATCTGAGTGACAGGGTGAAAAACTGTGTGATAAAAGAAGAGTGTGGTTTGCAAGATGATGCGGTGACCAGGATTAAGAAAGGAATGCTTCGGTGGTTTGGTCATGTAGAAAGAATGAATGCGGAAAGACTAACAAAGCAAATATATGTTGCAGAAGTGAATGGAAGAGTCGGAAAGGGACGTCCTAGGCGGAAGTTTGTCGACCAAATTTAGGATATACTAAAAATGGGCCAAATTAAGAGTACCCTTAACCGACGAGCATGTATGCGTAGGTATATGGATGTGGAAGAGGCGAGAGAGGTATGTCAGGATCGTGCTAAATGGAAGTCTGTAGTCTCTGCCTACCCCTCTGGGTGACAGGCGTGAGTGTTTATGTTTTTTTAACTAATCCAAACATAATACACGTCTTTTGTTGTTTAATTTTGAAGTTAGAATTAAAACATTTTAAAACCAGCCTCACGCAATATAATTACTAGTTATTCGTATTTCTTGCCAAATTAAATACAAAACAGACTGATTTTTTTTGTAGTTTATGACATTTTGTTATCATTTATAACATTGACAAGTTGGTCTGAAGTTATAGAACGTACGGAAAACGCATATCGCAACGTATTTTTCTGCAGTCTTTACCGGCGGTTATGAGTAAAGATAGCGGGTGTGCGAGCGAGAGGTGAATAGGGACGGCGCTATTTTCAATCCAATTATTTAACCGCACGGGTAGTATATAAAATTTTAATTAAATTACCTTGGACGAAATTCTTAAGATGCGCATGCTCTAATGAGCGCCAGATTTCTTCGTCGGAGTAGACGCCGAAGGGGTCCAGGTTCATACGCAGCGTGCCCGAGAACAGCACGGGGTCCTGCGGGATGATGGTGATGCGCGAGCGCAGCTGGTGTAGCCCGATCCTAGAGATGTCGATGCCGTCAATCAGGATCTTGCCGCTCATCGCCTCCATTATCCTGCGAACCGAGTGCCGAGAATTTTAGTAGAAAGTCATGAAGATAATTTTTTTTAAAATTAATGTTATTAATGTGATGCCATCAAACCTTTTCTATTGTAACTGTCGATCAAACTTTATGTATTTGTCCTCATAAAATGACTGCGTAAGAATAATAAGTCACAGGCTTTACACGTCCCACTGTTGGGCTCACGTTTTTGGAGTTGAAAAGTTTCCGCGGCGCTGCACCAATGCGTGTTACCAGCCTTCAAATGCCCACAAAATATTTTAACTTTTACAAACATAGATTTTCTCACTATCTCCTTTCAGTGCACAGCAATTGTAAAATTATAATTCAAAACTATACTGTAAAACTTGAAGTAAGCGCATATGTATTAAGTAAACACATCACATGTGAAAATGGTGCTTACATAGGCTGCACTAAAAGTATCGGGAATGGAATATTTCCACTGTTCCTGTCATATTAACATCTTTTTAATTGAAAACTCCTTGGTTTTAAAAATCGAATACCATTTATTTATTTAAAAAGATTCTCGGTCTTGTCACAAGGTTTTGTCAAACTTGTTTAGTCGTTGAGAAAATGGAATTGACTCGAGAAAATTCAAGAGCGATGATTTATTATGACTTTCGAAGTGGTTTAACACAAAAACAGTGTGTTGACCGGATGATTTCTGCATTTGGTGATGAAGCCCCATCCAAAACCACAGTTTATCGCTGGTTTGCTGAATTTCAACGTGGATGTGTCAATCCCCGTCAAGATCGTCCAAAAACTGCAGTCACCCAAGAAAACGTTGGTGCTGCGCGTAAGCTGATTGAGGAAGATCGACATGTGACATACCGCGAAATTCAGGCAACTTTAGACATTGGCATGAGTCAAATACAAATAATTTTGCATGAACAATTAGTTGTAAAAAAGTTGTTTTCCCGATGGATACCGCATTCGCTCTGTGAAGAGCAAAAAGCGGCTCGCGTTACTTGGTGCGTCAGAATCTCTCTCGTCTCGAAAGATTCCACGCAGGATCCTCAAATGCTGTATACAACATCGTATCCGGTGACGAATCCTGGATATACGCGTACGAACCCGAAACAAAAAACCAGTCACGAGTTTGGGTGTTCGAAAATGAGTTAAAGCCAACAAAAATTGTTTGTTCACGGAGTGTTGCAAAAAAAAAATGGTGGCCACGTTTGTCTCCAAAACCGGCCATGTTACGACTATTCCTCTTGAGGGACAAAGAGAGGTTAATACAGAATGGTATGCTAGCATTTGTTTGCCACAGGTCGTTTCTGAACTCCGTAAAGAGAACTGCAACCGCCGCATCATCCTCCATCACGACAATGCGAGTTCTCACACCGCACACAGAACAAAAAGAATTTTTAGAGCAAGAAAACATAGAATTATTAGACCATCCGCCGTACAGCCCCGACCTAGCCCTAATGATTTCTATACTTTCCCTAAAATAAAGAATAAATTGCGTGGACAGAGATTTTCATCAACTGAAGAAGCTGTGGACGCCTACAAAACGGCCAATTTGGAGACCCCAACTTCCGAATGGAATGGTTGCTTCAATGATTGGTTCCATCGTATGGAAAAATGTGTCAAATTTTGCGGAGAATACTTCGAAAACCATAAATACATTTTTAAATAGTAATGTTGTGTCACTTCCTTGATTCCCGAAATTTTCAGTGCCGCCCTCGTAATGGTTGTTTAGACACGCGCTCACCTGAACAGGCCGAGCGTGAGCGTGGACTTGCCGGCACCAGTGCGGCCCACGATGGCGAGCTGGTCGCGCACTGACGTCACCGCGCTCACCTGAACAGGCCGAGCGTGAGCGTGGACTTGCCGGCGCCGGTGCGGCCCACAATGGCGACCTGGTCGCGCACTGACGTTACCGCGCTCACCTGAACAGGCCTAGCGTGAGCGTGGACTTGCCGGCGCCGATGCGGCCCACGATGGCGAGCTGGTCGCGCACTGACGTTACCGCGCTCAGCTGAACAGGCCGAGCGTGAGCGTGGACTTGCCGGCGCCGGTGCGGCCCACGATGGCAAGCTGGTCGCGCACTGACGTCACAGCACTCACCTGAACAGGCCGAGCGTGAGCGTGGACTTGCCGGCGCCGGTGCGGCGCAAGAAGGCGAGCTGGTCGCGCACTAACGTTACCGCGCTCACCTGAACAGGCCGAGCGTGAGCGTGGACTTGCCGGCGCCGGTGCGGCCCACGATGTCGAGCTGGTCGTGCACTGACGTCACCGCGCTCACCTGAACAGGCCGAGCGTGTGCGTGGACTTGCCGGCGCCGGTGCGGCCCACGATGGCGAGCTGGTCGCGCACTGACGTCACCGCGCTCACCTGAACAGGCCGAGCGTGAGCGTGGACTTGCCGGCGCCGGTGCGGCCCACGATGTCGAGCTGGTCGCGCACTGACGTCACCGCGCTCACCTGAACAGGCCGAGCGTATGCGTGGACTTGCCCGCGCCGGTGCGGCCCACGATGGCGAGCTGGTCGCGCACTGACGTCACCGCGCTCACCTGAACAGGCCGAGCGTGAGCGTGGACTTGCCGGCGCCGGTGCGGCCCACGATGGCGAGCTTGTCGCGCGGCGCCACGGCGCACGTGACGTCACGCAGCGCTGGCTCGCCCGCGCGGTAGCCCAGCGTCAACCGCTCCAGCTGCAGCGCGCCCGTCTCCGGCCATGTGGCGCCAGGCCCGTTCGGCAGCATCCACGCCGCCTCCTACCGCACGCACGATACGCGATATCTTAATAAACTCACCGAACAGTTCTATGTGAACTACCAGACAGGCTGTGCGTCCGTAATATATTGTTACAAGTTACGGTCCATAGAATACTATAATACATACATAATAGAACGGGGGAGTGGGCAGAGCCCGTGTAGCCACTATCATGTCACTAACATGTGAATTCACACCTATAAATGTCAACACAATCAATCGTTTCCAATTTTCGTGTCAAGCGTCGCTGCATGCCAATTATTTAAAAAAGGCAAATTAAGCAATAATTACATGTCGAAAGAACAGCGGGAAACGGAATTTAAATAAAGGAGACATATTCTACAACCAGTAAGTCGAAACTATTTATATTTTGTGAATATTAGAAATAAAAATAAAGAAATATAGATGTGTCAAAACAAAAAAAAAATTTTACACATCAAACAACATTAGTTACATCAAATTACATTAGTCAAAAAATCAAAAGTCTAAAATGTGTCAATTCGCTCGGACAGCACAGCGAATCGGTTTTGTAGTAGTGATAATACGACGACGACGTAATTGCTTGTATGTGCCGGTGCCGGTAATTTATTGCATTAATGCCGGCGACACCGATACTAATACAAAATAAGGTTGACAGCCATTCTATTGTGTATTATAGTATTCTATGTTAATTCTCCGTAACTTCTTTAGTCGATTGCGAAAAGGCAAGAAATCTAGCTCTTTGTTTTGTAGACCGCGAAATTTGTCTTTGATAATCTAACACTGATTTAGTTAAATGTGACTAAGATAATTCTGTCATTATTTATGTGTGCACTTTGTCCACGTGAATTAAAATTTATTACAGATATGTACCTATGTCGCTTAATACTTTATTTGGTACTTGCCTAAAAGCAGGAACTGTCGTACAACTGCGGGACATATTTACCGTGCCTGCTAGCCGCCCGCGCGAGCCACAGCTATGGCACACTTTGGACTAAATATTGACATACGAAGCTAACATAATTTTAATTTTTTTTGTGGTCTTGTTATTTGTTTATTATGATTTTTTATTTTATTTTGTTTGTGTTGAGATTTTAATTTTCTGTGGACACTTCACTAGGTTAATTTCTAATTGTATTTTTGATTTATCATTAATATCTTTGTTTATAACTGTATATTAACTTCACAGTGGGAAGTTATTGTAATAAGTCCGATTTTGCAAATTGGAAATTTTAACATATCTCGTTTCAAGGTCTTTAGGGTCCAATAGTACGGTTTTTAGGAGGATGTCCGTGTGTGCACATGTACGTACGTACGTATGTACGTACGTTCGGATACAAATTTCGCCTCGTGTATCTCGAGAACAAACAGTGATATTTACATGGGACCAGTTTCACTTATCGCATAATTATGTAACTTAGACCTCATTAAATTTTGAGTAAAATCGGTCAATTCGTTTTTGTGTCGAATGAAAAATTGTATGATATTTTTTCATTCTTTCACTGGGAAATTAGTCGTGTAGACCTTTCGGGTCGCACCTAGAGACTCAACAGTAAATTGACGATGGTGTAACCTGAACAGTTAAGTACTGTGTTTTAAAAAAACTACTTCTAAAAAAGAATTTAAAAAGAAAAATGTTAAACATGACTTTTTACGTGAATGAACACAAGTTTAAGTGATAAAATGGTATACACAATCAACTAAATCGAGGATACATTATATATTGCAAGCACCTACATAGTGTCGTTGCAAAGAAACTAGAAGAAAAATAAAATAATATTGTGGGTTGTAATAATTATATTACATATTACAGGACCGGATTCAGATATAATTAAATCAGATTAATTTTATATTATTCTTTTTGCTGTAATTGTAGTGGTTTTGACATACATTATACTTCAAAGAGGTCGTAGGCCTAGATCTTTTTAAGTTTTTAAAACGTGGTTGTATGTGTGTACAATATTTGACACATATTTTTTTAGAATGCTTGTACCATAATGGTATAATTGTTTAATGTTCATTAATTTTGTTTCAGTGTATTTCTTTTTATTTGCACTTAAGATTTTTGAAAGTTATTTTTTAAACAACGTACATATCTCAAAAATTATTTTTACCCAATTTTTGACGCATGGTTTTTACTGCTTGGACTTACAAAATTTATTTTTAAAAAAATTATGTCACGCAGGAATAATTATTCAGTAAAAATAATAATAAACTTTTTTTAAATATTATGTACACATTGGACTATTTATATAGCTCACCTGCTTTGTTTCCGCATACTCTTTTATTCTTTCCACAGCTACTATGTTCGTTTCTACTTCCGACGTCATCCGTACGAGCCAATTGAGTGTTTGCGTAATCTATAAATATTTAATGTGTTTAGTTAAAAAAATATTAATGAAATAACGCTAAATAAATCTCCAAGATAAAATAGATATAAGTATATTATGTTTTACAAAAATTTTAATAAAAAATTTGCTTTTTTACTCTTTTTTGTATAATGTAGTAGATATAGATTTTAATTAAAATTACTTATTATTTTTATAGGATTTTTATAGTTAATTTAATATGAATATAAATATTTTAATGTGACTTCTAATTAAGTTTAGATATAATTTTCACAATGCAGTTAATCTGCCTCTCCTCGGTTTTTATCTCCTACAAATAATAGATAAAACGAGCACGTAGCTGATGTGTGCTCGTGATTTTTCGTCGGGATTTCTAAATTGAAGTAAGGGTGAACAAAAGAGCACACTGTTTAGCTTGATCGTAAGTATATACTGTCGCCCATAGACACCTCCACCTCCACCACCATCTGTGTTATACTCTGTTAGGAATCAAAATGCAAATGCGTTGTTATATCCAAGTGCTAAGGCGGAATACCTCGCCAGTAACCATACGAAACAAAGGACCATTGTGCTGTCATTTTACCGGAATTTTATGGTAATCCGACACGAGCGGAAGGAGATCAGACAGGAATTCAGCAGCTTTACATGCATACCGAGGCATGGGAGTGAAACTCAGGTTATTAGATGTTTTCTGACAGAAAACATCTAATAACTGATTTTGTCCAGATCCGGACTTCGAACGAGGCAGACAAATCTACCACGTATAAAATGAATATGTATATACGAAGAAAAAACCTAAACTATCACCTAACTACAACCTAAATACAATCTAAATGAAAAGAAATAGATCTAATTTATAAAAAATCAAAACAATGTTATTGTATGTCTCATCATACGAAAAAACCTTTATGCCAAACATTTAAGATTACTTAATATTGAGTCTAAAGGACTAACGCGAACGACGACACGACATTTATAATTCCATTTAGAATATAAATTTTATTTATTTTTTTATCTTGATATCGTTATACTTTGTTGTTTTATATAAAGCTAGTCTTACATTGTCTGTTATCAAAGGACTTCAATGTTATAATTTCTGGGTAAAATAAGTGTTAAGCGGGCAAAGACGCCTGCTAAGAGAGGCAATTATGGCTATTCCTCCTTACTGTGAAAAAGGATTTCCAGCACTATTTCAGCCTCAGTGGTATTAGATTTGGTTTTCGATATATGAATAATTCTATATTCTGCATATAACACAAACAACGCCGTGGTAGCGGAGTAAAAAAATCTACTACCCCATATCATCCCATAAGTGTCGTAAGAGGCTCCTCAGCTCAGCTCCAGAGGGACCTCAAACAGAAGATGGGCGGTAGCATCGACCTAATAACTTTAAAAAAATGCCCTTGTCAACCCAAGTGCCAAGTATGACAAATATTGCGCAATCTACGGAGAAGGCTTGTGCTTCAGCAGTGGAATTTGGTAGGCTATAATGAAATAATACTGACACTTACTGCAGCTATATTATGGCCGCAGTAGGAATAGGTCGGCCCGACCGGTGTAGGACCTGGCTTTCTAGATTCTATGCTGGTAGCATGAAACTAAAAATAATGTGTTTCGTATGCAGTATGTAGAGAGAACCGGAGACCATTTTTACTTGTAACGAGGTAGTTAGGTATTCAATCTTAGTCCTTCGGTGTGATAACGCTTCTATATTTCTTTTTTTAATCTAGAATTGATGTAGATGTCTATGGGCCGCAGCATACACTTACCGGTGGACCGTGTACTCGCTTGTCACCCTTACTCTATATAAAAAATAAATAAAAAAGCCTAATGTACCTGCAAGGCGTAGCTGACGGAGAGGCCGACGAGGCCGGGTTTGATGGTGTCGCGCGCCAGCACGGCGAACAGCGCCGAGAAGAATATGATGAGGTTGCCGATCATCTCCAGCCGCACGGCCAGCCAGCGGTTCGCGATGCAGCTCGGGTAGTAGCACGCCTGGTTGTGGTCCACGCCGCGCTCCGACTCCTCCACGAACCTGCACGCAATATACAACTTGGTAAAACGAAGTCATGCCCGCAGAGAAACGTGCATGCATGCATGCATGGGAATAACCACTACCATCTCGAGACGGCGAGGCCGGCTCTGCTCTTTCTGACCGAGACGCAAGTGTCCTCTCCGGCTAATGTCTCGTATCTCTCTTACCCGGTGTACAAACTGGAACTCCTTTGTGCCTCGGGCTGGAGTTTGCGTTTACGTCAGAGAGGACATCTGTTCGCGACGCCTCGGCAGACTTGAAGGTTCGGACCTGTCTATCCTTTGGCTACGCGTAGACAGCGACGACCATCCGCGCGTCTACGGGTGCCTCTATACGTCCCATAGTGTAGTGGTAATGCCGAAACAAACCGACTCTTCAACCACGTCCAAATGGCTACAGATTCGTTGCTACAGTAGATCCCCTCCGCAGAGATCGTGATCCTCGGCGACTTTAACGCCCATTACGCCGATTTTGCCTTGGCATATGGTCTGACACAACTGGTTACTTCGCCTACGCGGATTCCAGATGTGGAGGATCATGCACCTTCCCTGTTGGACCTTCTGCTGACCTCTCACCCGGACGGATATCAGATTTCCGTCGACGCCCCTTTAGGCTCCTCGGACTTGTACGGAGTGTGGTGCCACTCACGCTGAAATCTCCGTTACATTCTGCAGGCTGCCGCCGTGTTTGGCACTATGGGTCAGCCGATTGGGATGGGATGCGGACTTTCTTTGCATCCTACCCTTGCGGTTGGTGGGTTTGCTTCTCGCCGGACGATCCCAACGTTGTTGCGGATTCTGTCGCTGATGTGGTACTTCTGGGTATGAAACTTTTTATTCCTTCCTCTGTAGTGCCCACTGGAGGCAAATCTCAGCCATGCTTTGGTCGCTCCTGTAAAATAGCATAATGCTGTAAGCAGGAGTGCTACCAAGCCTGGGCTGACGCATCAACGTTCCTGGATGTAAACACCAGCGCTCTAAAAAAAAAGTATAATTCCGCCTCTAGGTTCTTCAAAAGAGTCATTGCCAAGGCAAAGTCAGAGCACATAGGCAGGATTGGCGAGAAACTAGTTCGCCTACCTTTTGGAACCCGTGCATTCTGGTCTCTCGCCAAGGCTGTCCAGGGGAATTTCTGTCAGCCATCTCTTCCATCTATGCACAGGGAGGACGACTCACTGGCCCATACCGCAAAGGAAAGCCGATCTGCTTGGCTCTTTCTTTGCGTCCAACTCGACTCTCTATGACGGGGGGAGTACGCCGCCGACCATCCCGTGGTGTTAGTGCTCCATGCCGGAAGTGCAGTTTACACAGCGCTCGGTTTGCAAAGCACTCCTCTCCCTGGACATCCACAAGTCGAGTGGGCCTGACGGAATCCCCCCAATTGTTCTGAGGACGTGTGCTCCAAAGCTGGCACCGGTTTTCACGCGATGATATGTTGCAAACTCGTAACATTCATTCCTATGCAGATGACAGCACTGGTGATGCTCTGTACACCGGCCGTGCCAATATTTCTCGGGAAAAAGTCGCCGAGTACCGGGACAAACTTGTGTCTGAAGTCGAGTCTTTGCTGAACAGAGTCTCGGATTGGGGGCGACTAAATCTAGTCCAGTTTAACCCCCAGAAGAAACAAGTTTGCGCGTTAACCGCTAAAAAGAACCCCTTTGTCGTATCTCCCCAGTTTCAAGGCACTCCCCTTGTTGCCTCAGGCAGTATCGGTATCCTCGGCGTCGACATATCGAGTGACGTGCAGTTTCGTGGTCACTCGGAAGAGAAGGCCAAATTGGCCTCTTAAAAGCTTGGCGTGCTCAGCAGAGCGGGACAGTATTTCATGCCGGCACACCGCCTGCAACTTTACAAGTTACTGTTCCCATCTCTGGGCTGGGGCTCCCCAGTACCAGCTCCTTCCACTTGACCGCATCCAGCGCAGAGCGGCTCGAATCGTCGACGACCGAGTGCTTTCCGATCGGCTCGATTCACTGGCGCTGCGAAGAGATGTTGCATCTCTTTGCATTTTATCACGCATATACCATGGGGAGTGTTCTGAGGAATTTTTCGGATTAATCCCAGCCGCCAAATTTCGTGAACACAGTACGCGGCAAACGTCCCGATACCATCCACACCATCTGGATGCTTGGCGGTCCACCACTGTACGTTTCACAAGGAGTTTTCTTCCGCGTACGACCTCTCTATGGAATAGTTTACCATCGGCGATTTTTTCGGACCGATATGACCTGGGGACTTTCAAGAAAAGAGCTTACACGTTTCTAAAAGGCCGGCAACGCAGCTGCAATTCACCTGGTGTTGCAGTCGTTATTGGACGGCGGTTGACACTTAACATCAGGTGAGCCGCATGCTCGTTTGCCCTCTCTTCTATAAAAAAAACCCTAATTTTTTTTTAGTTATAGGCCTTAATCTAAAGGGGTCACACTGGGGAGTATTACAGAAATGCTGAGTAAAAACTTTGCAACGTCAATGCGCGGTACAGTAAATAGAAAAATTAGATCGACTGAGTGAACGACTATTCAGCTGCTATATAATTTTGCTGACAAATAATATTTTGTCTGAGTATAGTAGGGAACGCAATCTAAATAATAGCTTAACATCTCAACCCCCTAGCGGTCTCATGAGACCGCGGCCATATTCCGTCAAATCTCTGGCATGAGGTCGCACCCACCCACAGCACTTTAACCCATAAAAAACGTATATATAGAGACGACTTTTCTATAAAGAAGTTTGGCACTATATAATCAATATGAAATACTCTATCCTCTAGTGCAATAAAAAAACTGTTATCCTATGAATATTTATTTATAATCTACGTTTATTTCGTACGCCATTTTCGCATAAAGGTTATTGTGTTGATTTTTGGATTTTTCTAGTGTTTTAGTATAGCGTTTTATTATAAAATAGTAATGAAAGTTTTTATGTGAATATAATTTATCCTTTTACGTAAATAAGTAATATATATTGAAATAATTGTGATTTTCAAGCTGCCAACATTCGCTTGGTATTTTTTTTTGTTATCAAAATACTATAAAATCTTTTTGTAATGAAGTAAAACCTGACTTTTGTTTAGACTACAAGATAGAAAATTTTGTACAGATTTTATAATGCTAAACTTCTTCATAGTCTCTAAATATAAGTTTTAATGGTTTTAAGTGCTGTGGGTGGGTGCGGTCGCATGCGACTGCTCGGGATTTGCCGGGCGCATGCGACTGCATAGGATTTTTATGGCGCTTTAAGGGTTAATGCTGCTGTGTCTCGAATGATGAGTGTAGAGAACCGGAGACCCTTCATATTTGAAACGAGCTATTCCATCTTAGTCCTCACGGGTGACAACGCCTTTGCATGTAATTGAGCATACATGCAGGTGTCTATGGGCCACAGCAACCACTTACCATCAGGTGGACTCGTTTTTCACCCTATCCTATAAAATATATTAATTGCTTGTGGCACATACTAATTAAAGCAAGCTCGCTCCTATTATGGTAAGCATATCAGATTTAATGGTTGCTACCGCATAGAACTACGTAATGACCACAGGAGCAGCATTATGGAAGGAATAATCCTAAGCCCCAACTGCTCTTTACTTAGGGTCGACACATGCAAGTCGACACATCAGTCGTAAAGTATATTTTATATATATTTTAATTAGTGGCAATGATTCTGGCTGAAGTGCAATTAAAAAGTATTGTTGCAATTGTACTGTCGGCCGTCGAACGGTAGGATGCTGTGCTCATGTTATGACAGTGATATGGTATTTGGGTTGGGCACGGCATCAGACTAATATTTTGCCTTCTGCTCAATTCCTGAATGATGTATTGATGTATATATTAGAGGCAAATAATTCCTTAGCTTTACTAGATGTGTAAGTCATCCGAAATCCTAACACCATAGATCACACGTGTGTATAGAAAAAAGACCCATACAAACCGATATTTAAATGGTGAATCTCATCATCATTCTTTACAGTTAGCTACCGTGAGCAAATCTTTGTTACAGAGAGCACGAGAGATCTGTGACAGCAAACACTGGCCGCCGAGCTTCAGCACGTCAAGCAGGTTCTGCACGACAACAAGCTTCGGGTCCCGCGCCTATGTCACAGTGACCGAGTGAAGCCGGCCACAGTCGAGCGTGTACCTGCTGTACTACGTACTATATGTCACGGGTGTCACAGACAAGATTGGCTACATCTTGAAGCGAGCTTCTATTAGAACATTCTACAAGCCGCCGAAGAAGATTAATCAGTTTTTACCATTCATCAAGTGTCATATTCCTCTGCAAGATGCAGGAGTGTACAAGCTTGATTGTGAATATGGTCTCTCATATATAGTGCAAACGAAAAGATCAATAGGGTATTTATATTTTATATTTATGATAGATTTTGTAAAAAGTAAACGAAAAATATTGATTTCTATTTATAAATTAGCATTAAAATTTTATATTTAAATTTTAAGATTTTTTCGTCTGTGCCTCAAATGTGCTAAACGCGGTCCGCCATATTAGCTACTGTCGTGACATCACTGATCCCTCCTAAGGGTCATAGTGTTCTGTTGATAATTAAAAGAAGTAGCTAATGTGCTGTGTTATTTCAAAATTTTTTAAGTTATCATTACGATCATTGAGTTTTATTCTTATTCTTTTATTATATAAAAGGCATCACGGAAGACGAATTCGTAAAAGCAGAAAGTAGTGATCTACCAAGGATAAATAAATTAATGGTGGCAAAATTTTTGGCATGCAATTCCAATTTTTGTTCTGCTGAGTTGAGGAATGTTAAAACATCAACGTAAGTACCTATTACCAACTATTGTTTATACAAAAACACAATATCATGTCAGAGTGTATTTTGACAAAACATAGTAGCTATTATAGTTTAGTTTATCTATAATTACAATCATTAGCGATCATTAGTTATGATATCTAAGTTAACGTAATTTATTTATTACAAAATTTGACTTGCGATATCCTTCACCGCATAATGTTTTGTTTTGTATAAACGATAGTTAAATATAAGTCATACTTACATCAAAATGATCTTTACAGAAGAATAGTCTAGTTTTCGTAGACAATTTATTCGGGTACCTTCTTGCCAGTTTTAACCAAGTATTTCTTATATTTAAATCAGTTGGCACATGAATCCATAACTTTTCCGGCGTTTATAAGCTCGTATTTTTGCATTCAGGTACAACACAACAATGATATAGAAGATAACTCATTATTAAACATTACAAAGTATCTTATTCCTTTGCAAAATCGACAAAATTCTAAGACAGTGACGTCACGAATAGAACAGCACGGCGGCTACAGTTTTCATGCGATAATTTAAAATGATAGATTAAAAGTTATTTTGATGGCACTATTCGGTATAAAAAAAATTATATAAAAATTATAGTGGTTCATTATCACTCTAGGATTCATTTAAAACACTTTTTGAAAATTGGTGTAATACCTTACTGGAACCCGCGTAAAAAACATATAGCCGTCGTGAAGCATCAAAGTTCGGGGAAGTCTGCAGTTTGTGATCATATCCTAGATGGCCCCAACCTGATAGATATACATCAGATTTGATAGACCACAAATCCTCGCGAAAGAACATCGATTCCTATCAAGGATGATACGTGAGACTATTGAAATTAAAAAAACATCCTGATTTCAATAGAGAAGGAGGCTGGGTACTACCACCTGCTTGGGACCTTATAATTAATAAAATGAAAACTAAACCCAAGCATACCACTGAAAGACTTCAAGATACAATAAGTTCATTCTGCGTTGATCGGACCATAAATAATAATTAAAAAGCTGAAGGTACTCCAGGTTAACACTGACATCGGGACGTTCACATTTTAATATTATACAATGTACATTGAAATTAAAATACCTCTGGGTGACACCGTAGGCTCGTATGGTGGAGGCTCCAGTGATGCTCTCACCGAAGTGCGAGTAGATGGGCGAGCGCGACACGGACTCGAGCCGCTTCAGCTGTCGTGAAGTGGCTACGTAGAACCGCTGGATCAAGTAGTACACGATTCCGATCGGCAATATCACGCTCATGAAGATCGGAGTCGACAAACTTATTACGAATAACGTTCCGAGAACCTGCCAAAGAATTAAGTGTCAATACTCTAATGAATACTATTAAGAATAACGTGAATTGATTTATTTTCTGTATTTTAGAAATCGGCCACTTTATACACCACTTAAGCTGAACGCACATTTATCCACACCGTACACGCTGTATTTTATAATTCGTTGTATGAAATAATTTAAACTACGCACATTACAGTCGCACCATACGCGACGCATTTTATACAATATGGTAGATATCCGAATATTGAAGGACGCATGCTGATGACGTCATGTAATGCGACGCGTTCGGCGCGTGCTGATACTTAGGGTATGTTCCGAAATACAACCCAGTACACTGTCGAATGCGAATGACGTCATGAATCGACGCTATACTGGTGATTCGTACCAAAACATAGGACAGTATATGACGTCATACATTTACGCCATATTGGAAAAGTGTTGGCGATTATTTTGTCATTTTGTGCTCCAAAAGTCATTATATCTTCCTAATGAAGATACCAGCAATTATTCTATAATTTTATGTATATGAATAAATAAAAACAAATTCTGGCATGCTTCATCGAGCGCACACACATTTAAAAATTGTTTTATTGTGGCCGGATATCCGACGCAATATGGCGGCGGCATAGTGTCAATGGATGACGTCATTTGCATTTGCCAGTGTACTGAGTTGTATTTCGGAACATACCCTTAGTGTTGTCTAATGATACCAACTTAGTGGTATTTCCACTAAAACTGGTAGTTTCGATTGTCGTTTCGCAATATATTTTTTCTTCATTTCAGGAGTATTTACTTTCGACCAAATTGGCGACATTTTGAAAATGAGCCACATTAGGAGTACCCTTAACCGACGAGCGTGTATGCGTAAATATATGGATGTAAAGGGGGCGAGAGACGTGTGTCAGAATCGTGCCAAATGGAAGTCCGTAGTCTCTGCCTACCCCTCTGGGGGACAGGCGTGAGTGTTTATGTATATGTATGTATGTATATTCTTGAAATTTCTTGAATGTTCAATGCAAATATCCGAGAAACCGTTCATCATCATCTGAGAAGTCCTTAAATATACCTAGTATAATATTCTCCATACAATTAATAATTAATGTTATGAATTCGTTTCTAAATTAATATTATGAATTCAGAATTTTCTTTTTCTTAGATTTTTTTTTCTCTGCCAATAAGCAGGCTATTACAAAATCAATTTCACGGTACCGTTTCACACCAGTGGTTGAAAAAAACTGCGAAAATGTTGGCAATACAAAAGGACTGCGTAGGGCGCGTACGTGCAAATTTGCTAGGTCATCCGGAAATTTGGCGCGTACGGTACGGACAAATGTGCGTTCAGCTTTAATTTTACCAGAAAAAAAATAATGTAATTCAATATCCATCACATCATACGTGGTAACTGAAATTCAATTTAATTTGACAAACATATTCACTTTCGTTTTATTTCTTTAAAAATAGAATGTATTACTTTTTTACTATATTGTCATTGCACTAGAGAACTAATAATAACCATTCCACGTATTGTCAGTAAAAATTCATTCTCATGCGTTGCTATTACTCAATTTAGAAAATTTTGATATTGGAAATTTTTCATTATTTTTTTTTATTTATGTTCTGTTTAAGTCATTGAGTATGATTTTTTTTTCTGATAATATTAATAATAATAAAAAATGAAAAGTAGCTGATAAAATATTTAACAAAAAAGTTATTCAGAAATTAATTTAAAGATTTTGATATTACCCCTGAAAGTAACAAATAGTAAAATGCGAAACATGATTGCCTTACACCATAATAATTAATATGGTTTTTGGGATCAGTTTATGTTTGTTGAAGTTCACATAGAAATATTTAATTATTTTTCATTAAGCTCTTACGTTTCGGTTTCCAAAATATTAATCGATATCAAAAATTTGGTATCAGAGGTTTTTTTCCGAACCAGTGGTAAATTAAACTAAAGAGTAACTTTCCATAAGAATCATTTATATTTCTTATAGCTTAAATACTGCACTAGATACCAAGCAAACATTTAAGTCTGCAATTTAAAGATATGTCTCAGGTAGCAAACGGTAATTATTTTATCGGGCCCTCATAAACTACATACTAGGATAACATACAAAAGAACGTAAACTAATATTCAAAAGGAATTAAAAAGGTGCGCAGTTTTGCTTAAACCTGTTTTCCTATATGAAAAGATTACGCCAATGGGAAAACCGAAAAGTAAATATAGTAACACAATAATTATACGCTAATCTTATGAATGGCATAAACAAGAAACAGTTTTTGATTTTAACCTCGTACTAAGGATAAAACTAGCTACGGGCCGTAATGTATATACGTTGTGCAAAAGCGTTTTATACTGTCTGTATATATCGTAAGATACGTTTAATAGCGGTATAAACTTTAAGCGGCGAAAGGACGAATTTTATCCATGAGTCTTACCAAAAATGTAAGCATAGTTTTCGATGCAATTATCAACGATTTTACCTCGGAAGCGCAATATATCACATCGGCTATCTGTCTCGGCAGGGAAGTGTCCAAGATATCCACGTCTTTAGAAAACCTGGAGAGGATTCGGCCGATTGGAGTCACTTCGAAGAATTGCAAGGGAGTCCTTAATACATTCTTCAACAAAAACGCGTGGAGAATCTTCGCCGCACGCCAACACCCCAAATACGGTGCTAAATCCGCGAAAATCGAGGCTAACGCTGCAACAATATTTATGGAAGACATGTATCATCATATCTGGCTCGAAGGACCATGCACAAACTGCAATGTATGTGCACTTCTTACCTAAATACATATTTATACGCGAATTAGACACTCTAGCCTTGCCATACTAATTCGATACCAACCGCATAAAAAATTTGCACGCATCGCTTCACTAGCCAATCATATGAACTATGAATAATGAATACATTATTTAAATATGAAACTTGAAAGATTAGAAAGCAATGACGTGATAGAAAGTTACACTACACTCGAGGGACGACGTGCTAGATGCTTTCTAAATATTCGATACTTCTACATGCACTAAAGAACGGCAGTAGTAAAGAAATAAAAACATAAAAGTTTACCTGTGCAGCTGGACTGGTTGTTGCTGCTGTATCATTTAAACTTAATATTAGTAAAAATGCGAGAAAGATATTATAAAATATTTCATAAATAATTTATTATAAAATTCATAAACTGATCCCAAGATAGTGTAATCGTAAAGTACATTTTTACTTATGACTGAAGCGTATTAAAATAAATAAAATAAACAACATTTATGGGATATGAATTCATGAAATAAAGTCGTTAAGTTAAAAAATTTAACAAATGTATGTTTCGATTAGTGTGGAGTTTCAATTATATTCATATTATAATATTTTAAAATAAGAGTAGATAGCAAAAGGCTGTTTACATTTTTAATAAAAAGGACAGAATTCATGGTAAACGTAAAAGTTTTACGTGTCTCGGAGATACTGTTATAGCATGCGTGGGTATATTCAAGTGTTAAATACAATTTAAGGCTGTTGTTGTTTCTATAATAATATTCTTATAATGTATTTACAAAAATAATTTATAAGCCAATTAGCGCTCCGTTCCTGGCGCTTTCTGGATCACAACAGTGGTCACTGGATCGGTGGAAGTTATCGGGATTATAGCTAAGGACCATTCAGGTGACCTTATAAGTACTCCATAAAAATTTCATTTAAATCACAGTCAAAGCGTTTAAGGAAACTATTACGAATATACGCATACCGGAATTTTATATATTTTGCAGGTAATAATAATATAATAAAAATTATTAAGTTTTGCTTTTAATAATTATTTATATTTCAACCTGCTTTATTGCACACAACTATTTTATTTTGTAAAAAGCGGTAATGCATGTTCTGTCATTTTCCACTTTTAAGTATCAAGCTATATTAGTGTGCGAGTGTGTGGTGGGCGGGCGGAGTGCTGTGGGTCGGGTACCGCGAAGAAGCAGGAGGTCCAGCCGCGGAGCGTCATGGGCAGCACGTTGTCGAGTACGTCGATGTCCTTGCTGAAGCGGTTGAGCACGCGGCCGATGGGCGTGCAGTCGAAGAAGCCGATGGTGGGCGCGCGCAGCACGCCGGCCAGCAGCTCCGCGTGCAGCGCGCGCGCCGCAGCCAGCGTGCCCAGGTACAGCGCCAGCGACGACACCGACACCGACAGCACTGCAGCACCACACCCACCGTGCCCAGTCATCCACCGCGCAGCGAGAGTGAGTCCTCGCTAGCGCGTCAGCGTTTAAGGCTCAGAATACAACCATCCGGAATCTCAAGTACCCACCAAAATACGGCCCGGACAAGCTCGAATTCAATATAATCGACTCTAAACACTATTCAAGGCCATCCCATTCCGATTTTCACCAAGTAACAACTGGATCGTGCTCGTTTATCTCCAAACATCGGAAGCGTTATTTTTCAACACAAGATCCGCGATACATAATACGATATGACGAATTTTTATTAAGTCTAATATACGATAACTAAAAACGATTACGTACCAAGCGCTAGTGATTGTGTCTGTGACAGTGTCACAGCTGGTAAGACACGCGCATATTTTTACTTTATTAAATTCAAATACAATAAATACATAAAATTCAAACAGAATGCTAATAGTCAATAGCAAACCGACTTCTTCTTTTTCGTTATTTTTTTCGTACCGGGGAGATCCGGTTGCATGTAGTCAGAGCCTTACAGGCAATCTCAAATGTATGTAACAATATTCAAAATATAACCCATAAAACCACTCCTATGAGTCAGTGAGCGAAATGCTTCGTTGTACCATACGATCCTTATGCAATTATTTACTCTATGACCATATAAAGACACCCGCGATACTGCATATTTTTACTAAGCAGTATATTTTTACCTAAACAACCCAAAAACTACATACTCGTATTACAATACTTTAATACTAGAATTAAGATGGAATGTCTTGTTTTTAGTCAAAAGGGTCTCTGGTTCTCTATTACGAAACACAGCAAAATTAAGCTGCTATTTCACACTGGTATTCTGTGAGGACGTGGTCCTTTCCTAGTCGAGCCGACCCATTGGTGCTACAATCACTACATAGATGACACGTGGCTTTACAACGTAAAAGTTATTGATAATCGGAGTAATTTACATTTTTTATGAAAATATTTAAATAAAGTATTTTTACAAATAACGAACTATGGCGTAACTTATTGGTTTTCCATATAATTTCTAAAAGAAAATGAAAGAAATTCTTTCGACAACACTACTAATGAAAGGTATTTCTATATACATAAGTGTCAAGTGCCCTTCAGTGGCCTATGGTGATTTAATCAACCTATCGTCATAAAATCTCTTATTCTGTGAAAAATTTGCGTTTTTAGTACACATTCACTAAATAATGAATAAAATTATTAATATTCTATACAATATAATAAAAACAGCATGCAGTTTTAATTATACAAGTAGTTAAAATTTATTTAAAACATTTCCAAGATCATGCGGTTTATTTAAATATTTCAAATAAATATAAAAACATGCGATGATTGATTATGTTTTAATAAAAAAGTAGGTATAAAAATAATATGCATAATCCATGAATAGAGATATAAATAATTTACATAGTTATATTAACATGAAATAATGTATTCATTATTAATAGTTTTTTTTTAATGAAATAATTCTTTTCTTTTTGTGTGAAGTGATCCATTAAATTTAAAATAAAGATATTTTTAGAAAATCAAAATTTTCATTATAAATAAGAAAAAGAAGAAGAATAATTCATTTATTTAAGCAACCAAGGCTCATATTTAGTTAGTATTACTTACAACTAAACTTATAACTAAGTTAGTAGGCATAATATTATTTGTGGAAAAAAGGGGACAATTTCGACTTTGAACTCAAACTTAATAATTTTAATATTTGATTCTAGTCCATACTGTGCTCATATATGAAGCATAGTACGGAGTTAAGTTCGAGTTCAAATCCGAGATTGTTTAATTTAATAACGGCTTTAGTGTCAAAATAACAATTTAAATATAATCAGTGATATTAAGACATAATTACCTTACACCAGAAAAACCTCAGACGTACAGGTGAATCAACATTTCAAGTTAGAAAAGAATGTGTTATTGTAATGGAATTCAGAATAGTCATTGAAGACTGTTAACATATGATAGCAAACATAGTTGGTTTTTCGAAGGGGCGATAGGAATCGGTAAATCAACAGCTTTAAAAAGGTGTTCGTTCTTAGTTCTCACGGTTTAATAATATATGTGTAGGATTTTATTAAATAAGTCTAGCCATTTATATTCAAATTGACTATATGTTAAAGAAAAAGGTGTATAAAAATGTTTAAAGGCAATCTTCATTCAGGAACCTAACCAAGAACGGCAACAGATAGAGAAACAAATTCATGATAAGAAAATAAAAGTATTGTATTTACGGGTCTTTTAACAGTGAATGCTAATAATAACCGAATATTATTAAAAGTTACAGACTATATACGTCCCACTGCTGGGCACAGGCCTCCTCTGACAGAGTTCTAGGCCAAGGAAGTGTCCGCCGCGCTGCCCCAATGCGCGTGGGCGAACTTCACATGTCTTCGAAATATATTTTTCTTATTTCTCACACATGCAGGTTTTCTCACTACGTTTTCCATCATCGCCGAGCACTGAACAATTTCATTGGTGCCGGCGGGGATCGAACCCGGGTTGCTCGCGTACTGTGAGATTTACAGCGAGCGCTAACGGAGCTCGGAGCTACCCACGGCTGTTAATCGAATAATATAACTTAATCTTCGTTTTGTATTTGAAATACAATTAACAAGTCACAGTTTAACAATACTAGCATTTACTAGTTAGGTCAGTTGATTTATTTGTGCACCTAACTCTATATACATACATACAATAATATTTATACATAGATAATAACAAATATTTTATATTATTTTTTATGTCTTTATTCTTTATTTCAAAGGTGTTTTTAACTTTCGTAGTAAAATATATAATATAATATATCTATATATTAAGTATATATTTATATGAAAATAATGCCAACCACATCGCCCATCTATATAAGTAAAAAAAATTGATATTATAAGACCCTATGCAACATTAAAACAGTGATCATCATGCTTTCGATGACTAAAATAAATATTCAAAAATAAGTAACTCACCTTGCCCAATACCGAGGCCTCCATAGACCCCAAGATAAAGATCCCGTTTGCTTTTGTCTAAAGTACCATTTTCCATCTGGAACAAAGTTTTCAATATTAAAATTAAACTTAAAAAAACTTTTAAGGTCGGGGTCATTAATTCTTTAATATACTGTGTTTAACACCGACGCCAGAAGCTTATTATCTTGGAATTATTTTTTGTTTTAGTTATTTAGATTGAATTTTATTTTTCATTAAAAGTTTATTTTTTAACCCTCTAGTCTAAGGATGGGTCTAAGGAATCATCCTCGCCGGGCTGAAGTTAGTCGCGAGTGACTGCGCAGTTATAGTTTCCAGGAACAAAATGGTGACAAGAGAAGAATGAGGGTGGGCGGTAACTAAAACTAAAGATGCTGTTCAACACTGAACATTGCAACTCAGCAGCACAGTGACCACGTTACCAAAACTCACGCACACTTATACTTGTTGCTGAGTAATCTTAGCATTGGATGTAAAATTGTGTTTGTATTTACTTAAATTGTATAAGTTAGAATGTATTGTTAATAAAACTCTCTTTCGACGCTGGACGACGACTGTGTTATTATCTCTGACACTTCTCTCAATGCGGCTAAGACATCTTAAGCTGCCCTGAATTACCCTGATTAGTATTGTGCGTCTGTTGTAGCAGTGAGAGAATCAATTCACGTAACTCTGACATCTTTTCTCTGTCCGTCTGTTACCTTACGTCTCTGCAGGCATCTCACATATTTTTTATCTAATTTATGTATGTATATTTATATGGTAGGGCCAGGGTATTAGGGACTGATAAGGACTGCTATGTATATGGAACTTAGGGTCTTTAGAGTATCCTATCCCTGCCACACTGATGTGCAGCGAGGTACTTGAGTTAGTGAAAGGAAATTGGGTTAATATTTAAACAAACAACTACCTGACTGTACAGATGTGAATATTTTTGCATTTTATTTTTACAATTACGTAAATAATCGATTATCGTTATTATCGATTATAATTCGATTTTATTTTATATTTTTTATGGTTTATTGGTTGTGTAAATGCAACATGTCGTTTTAAATAAAGTGATTATGATGATGAGCATTAAATATTTCATTGAGAAATTTGAAGATATAGTAATTTTGGGGTTATAGAAATGTTAATGTTGTCCTCGCTGATATAGTGTACTATTGTATGTATTCAAACCGTTTATATCTTAATTGTTTATTAGATACTATTGTTTTATTGAAATACATAAAGATATTTTCGTTATAATAATAATCGTAAATTAATTCTATAATCGATATGGATAAAACAGTTTCCCTAAGCGGTTGTAGGAGCGAATATGAAGTGTTACATTTCTATCGATTAGCGGCTGTACATGCGCGAATGTCCGGAAAGCTAACTTCAACCCGGCGAACATAGACCGCGCGGACATTAACAACTAAAAGTCGCTTGAACACTACCATTAAAAACTTCATCTCCTATTTTTCCACCCTTAGGGATTACCTTTAAGGTTTTAGCCTTTTAATAAAAAATAGAATCATTAAAAAATTTCTACAATGAGGGTTAATAATCTCACGGTCACTGCATGTCGCTAGTTGCTTTTGTAAAAAAATTAAGTCCCTCTGTTATGCAATCCGTCAAATCTATCCGTCAAACATTTCTATACGTGGTAGAGCCACGCTGCAGCTATATTATGGTTGTAGCATGAATGGGTCGGCTCGACCGGGGAAGAACCACGCTCTCACAGAATACCGGCGTTAAATATCAGGTTAACGCTGCTGTGTTTCGTATGGTGAGTGTAGAGAACCGGAGACCTGTATTACTGGAATCAAGTTATTCCATCTTAGTCCTCAAGGGTGACAACGCATCTGCATTTTGATTCTTAATCGTGGTTAAACGTAGATGTCTATGGGCCACAGCATCCACTTACCATCAGGTGGACTGTGTCCTCGTTTGTCACCCTTATCCTATAAAAAAATTCACCTCATTCCTAAGCAGCGCCGCCCTGGTGGCAAGAAAAGTCGTGAACGCATTCCAATTGCAAAATGCAACGTAATCCATATCATTGGAGTCACAAAAGAAATGAAAATCTCCTCTTTTATTGAAGTCGGTTACAAATAGTGGAAACATGCCATGTAATTGGTCGTTTTTACGTTAGTATTTTCAGCAACGGGCAGCATTTAAGTTTAAATTGCTCACAGCAATGGATTTACGAGTATAGAGCCCAACAAAAGGTGAGGTAATACTTACAATAATGGTGCGATCGTTGGACCACTCTGAGAGCCAATAGTTGGAGCCCACTTGAAACAGTTGCAGCACGAGGTTCATGAGGATGGTGATCACAGCAGCCAGCACCCCCACGCTCGTCAGGTAGTGCTTGTACACGCTCCATTTCACCTTAACGCATACAACAATATTAGCCTTTAAATTGCATTTCTGGATATAAGACTCCATTTTACTATATTTTCTAGAACTTTATTTAAAATGCTCAAAGAACATGTAACTAACTTACATTGCCTGTTTCAGCTTTTTCAGCTTCAATCAACTTATTCTTTTCCTTGAGATCATTGGGCGTAGCCTCGGAGGTACGTCTCTTTACACTTCCGGCGCGGTCACCTAGGATAAGAGAAAATTCAAATAAAATTATTTTTAGTCATAGTGTAACTATTACACCATTTGGTTGAGAAATGATTAAAATATGTAACGAAATATTTATAAAGATAAAAGGCGTACCAGCAGCTGGCTGGTCTGATTCTGAAGCGCTCTCAGACAGAGAACGAGCCCTCTGGAGTTTGTTCTGGAACTCGGAGCCCAACTTACTCTCCAAGTCTTGTTTAATCTCATCTAGTTCTGAAATAGAATTTAAGTTTTAACTGCCTTTGCTACAAACAGTAGCTGTAAGTACTACTATTTACATTAGTATTGAATTGAAATTAAATTTCTAATAAAAAAAGATTTCATATTGAATGTATGCGATCTTCTTTTAAACTACCGGTACTATTTAGTATTCTGCATTGGAGAAAGATGGACCAATTAGCCGACAACAAAAAAGGAGGTGTTTATAATTCGATTACACTGTTTTCGTTACAATGTTATATTTTTAAATCGATTTCAAAAAAGGAGGTTCTGAATTCGACTGTTGTTTTATGTGTGGTACGTCAGAACTTTTTTCTAGGCGAACCAATTTTGATGATTCTTTTTTTTATTGGAAAGCTGGTATAATAATAAGGAATAATATAATTATAATGAATAATATAATAATTATAATGAAAGATAAAACATTTTTGCGTCCTTCTCTGTTCTAATTTGCTATACCCGACAGGGTCCATATTGTGAAAATTTAATATTATTAATTTCTACATCATGGAATTCAAATAAATATATTGAATATTGAATATCGGTGCTTCTCATGTTCCCATATAAATTTGATCAATATCTGACCAGTAGTTTTTGAGTTCTACTTAATAATGCGCATTTAATTGACTTCAACTACATTGATGATGATCTCATTTTATTTATATTGAAGTCGGTTGTACAAAATTTTAAATTTTTATACTTGTCTCTTTTCACGTATGTTACAAACGGTGGCAAAATAAGGGATTGTGATATCCCTTACTCCATTCATAAGGATAAAAAAAACTCTTTGAATGAAAGTAAGAGCGGACAAAGTACCTACTAACAATGATAGAATAATTTCACATTCTGCAATCGGGGGTTTAATTCTCTATTCACAATGTCTTAGCATCAAATTCAGTATGTGATATTATTTTATTCTTTTTTTTTTGTTCTGTTAAGTTGGTTTTGACATTTAGGAGTTTTTTTTTGCTTTCATCTACTTGGTTTGCCATTTCATCAAAATTTATAGTTTTGAATTCTCGTTAGATGATGTTACTCTTCTTTCTGTTACTCGCGGAGTAATATTTGCTAGGAACATCCGTAATTTCGTTACGGTAAGTCTTACTTTTATTCCTTCCATTGTCGTCCGTTCATTATTTTTAAACGTCTAAGCACCACAATACCTTTAGTATAGATAGTACTGTACTTTTGTGTAAGGTGAAGGGTAAACACGTGACGTAGACGCAGCTTCTGATATACTATACGGTTTTCAATTAAACTGTATCATCTCCTACTTATAGTACCGTACCCACCCATACCAACACTGTTCATAAAGGTAGAAATAAATTACAACAGACTTACGAAGAAGAAAATTATCAGCTAAGTGATTTGGGCAGTAAAAAAAAGGCAGAAGGTTCTTCTGTTATTGAATCCGCGGGCGTCAGCGTGTGTGGTGTGCGCGGCGCATACCTTCCGCCGAAGTGCGCTCGGCGTCGCTGAGGTGGTGCAGCAGGAACTCGGCGAAGGCGCCTTTCTTCTCCAGCAGCTGCTGGTAGGTGCCCGCCTCCGACACCTGGCCGTCGCGCAGCACCAGCACCAGGTCCGTCTGCGACAGGTACGTCACGCTGTGCGTCACCCACACGCGCGTCTTGTGCTTCAGCAGACCGCTCGGCCCGATCACCTACCAATTTTTAATATATTTTACATTTACATAACATATACTATATCATTTTAAGTAAAATCATTATATGAACATTTATAAAGCACTTCAACTGATTATATTAATAAAACTATGGTTAGGTCCAGGCGCGTTTAATTTTGACTTACATTTGAACTATTAAAGTGTCGAGTAATTTTTAAGCAACTTCATGGAGACTGAAGTATCCGACGTCCTAATGTGAAGGCTTACCGGGATTTCAGATGATTTAAATGCCACAAATGAATCAAAACGAAATAGCAACGGATTAGTATTAGGCAATGGGCCGGCCATATAGCTCGAAGAACCGACAACCGTTGGGGAAGAAGGGTTCTCGAGTGGCAGTGCTCGTACCGGTAGGCGTAGTGTAGGGCGACCTCCGACTAGATGGAGTGACGACCTGGTAAGACATGCAGGAAGTCGATGGATGCAGGTGGCTCAGGAGTCAGGACCGTGCTTTGTGGCATACCTTGGGGGAGGCCTATGTTCAGCAGTGGACTTGTAAAGGGCTGTAATGATGATGATGATGATGAAAACCGTGTAATGGCGGAATAAGAATACCACTACATCTTTTCGTCCCGTAAGTGTCGGACCCAGGAGGTGACAGTGGGAAACCAAAACCGAAGGTGGGCAGCAGCATCTTCCTGCTAACAACTCAAAATTATAAAAAAAATTACAGCTTCTTTTACGTGGTAGAGCCACGCTGCAGCTATATTAATTGTATAGTTGTAGCACGAATGGGTCAGCTCGACTTGGGAGGGACCACGCTCTCACAGAATACCAGCGTCAAATAGCAGCTTAATGCTGCTGTGTGATCCTCTTTACTGGAAAAGAGGCATTTCATCTTAGTCCTCAAGGCTGACAACGCATCTGCATTTCGATTCGCAAACGAGGATAGATGTAGATGTCGATGGGCCACAGTTGTTTGACGTTACAATCGTTTCCAAATTTCCCATGCAAATTATTTACAAAATGCCAAATTGCACCGTATTTACAAATAAATATGTATTAAAATCTGTCTGTCAACACAGCGAATCGGGTTTGTAGTAGTGATAATACGACGTTATTGCTTGTATGTGTGCTCCCGGCGACGCCTATCGTCGTACATATACATTATAAGCGCAATCGATATGCCAAAAAGGTATGTTTTTATTGTGAATATATTATGCGGATCACTCAGAGTTCTCTCACAGTTTTGCGAAATTAACAAAAATCCATATTAAAGTAGTTGCGTGAGATGTTGTTGTTGTTATTATTCATTTTTTAAAGAGTTCACTACTAGCAGCACACATCCAAAATTTAATGTTTTTGAATTTTCGAAACACTTTCTAGTCCGGAAGGAAACTTCCATAACAGCCGCGTTAGAGCGACCACTTTTTTCTTCACATCTCAATGATGGTTGACCATGTTGAGTTACTTTATCCATGAACATTATTTAAAGCCTATCAACATTCCTCCAGTTTTAGGCGACATTTGAAATTTTGATAAAACATCTAGATCTATATTCAAATGAAGCACGATATTTCTGTTTAGCTCGTAAATAAATGTGGAGTGAAATTTAAAATTGGTTCGAATGATCTTTACTTCTTTACTAATCACATACAATACTTTTTTTCGCTAAACATTCTGTTTTTGGTAACATCCAAAATTCAGTGCCATCCTACCAGCGTTACGGATAAAGAATATTCTGGATTGTTTAATTTTCAATACAAACCAATTAATTACAAAAATTCCCAAGGTTAAAAACTAGGGTTGAATTTATAACGAATGAGAATTGAAAAAACGGAAATAAAAATAAAATGATTATAGTGCAAAATAAGAAGCAAAAGAAGTTTCAAACCAGTTTTCTTATATTGTACAAGTTAAAGTTTATCTGTTTATTAAAAATAAAAACTAGTTTTACCGGGCTGTAGTTGACGACTAACCTTTCGATTAATGACCCACCTCACCCATCCGACTTTGGAGTGTCAAATGACAATAGGATCTAATAAAAAGAGCTTTAGACTAAATGAATTATGAGTAGCGTAGGGTTAAGCTGTGCAGGTTATCTCTCTCTCTCTCTCTCTCTCTCGATTGCGCCCTCATTTCTGCCAAGGAGGGGCGCGTCCGTGTACGGCTTAAAGATCTCTCGTCAGATCGGTTAGCCAATCTCTAATGGCGGTGTTTAGTGGGTAAAAGTCTCCACATAACCACGCAGCCGGCTGCGTGATATGCTATGAGCATTCACCGCCTCCCTCCACCGCTTTCTGAAGGGTTGTCCTTATTGCTTTGGGTGCAAAAAAAATGCTATCCCTCTCTTTTGCGTGCAGACAACATCCATTACTGAACAGACAATGCCTCTCTATGTTTTCTACATTCTGCCCGGTTTCCTGCTTATCTGCCCCATGACGGATCTGCAGTTGCAAGTCAGAAGGCGCTTGCTCAACTCTTTGCGGTGGAGATGTCCTGCCAGAGCCTACTAGCGCCTTATTGTTATTCCCGAAGCGAGCAATATCATTAATTTTTGTTTTTGATAAACAGCTGCGTTGGGTATTGGTTTCGCAGAAATAAAGTATGTGTTTTATTTTACTAGCAAACAGAGTTCATTCTAGGTAATCAGTGCTAGCTTTTTTTCCACTTATAAATGCGATATTTAAAAAGTAAATAGAATCATATTATTGTGGGCTTTATTTAAAAGTCCTTAATAATTTTAAATCCTTTTTATGGTAGCCAGTTGTTTTTTTATAGGATAGGGTGACAAACGAGCACACAGTCCACCTGATGGTAATTGGTAAGTGGTTGCTGGGGCCCACAGACATCTACATCTATCCTCGATTACAAATCAAAATGCAGATGCGTTGTCACCCGTGAGGACTAAGATGGAATGCCTCGTTTCCAGTAAAAAGGGTCTAAGGGTAAAGGGTTGTTGTAGCTAGTAAAATCCTTTTTGTGGTAGGTAGCGTTGTGGTAGCTAGACGTATCACAACAGGACTACGTTTGACGATTTTGATACCCAGGTGTTAACGAAACTGAGCCCGCAACATACCATTTAAAAGTTATACTAATAGAGGTTCAAATATTTTCATCGGGACAAATACATGGCAGTATAACAGTGTTTTTTACATTTTTATTCCTGTTCGTAAAACAATTTTTACAACAAAGCATATTACATATACATTTAAAGGCCCTTTCCTGTAAAGATCACGGGACTTAAGTCTTTTTGCCCTTGCATAAATTTGACCGTCACCAATATTAAATGAAATAATAAAATACCTTTTCAAAAATGTGTTTGCCCACATGCGAGTCCACTGCACTTAGGGGGTCGTCCAGGAAATAATTGTCTGCATCGTAATACACTGCTCTCGCCAGCGCCACGCGCTGCTTTTGACCCCCCGATAAATTGATACCTAGAAAGAAAGTGAGTAGCGTGACAATTTTTACCAAAAACTCATCTTCAACTGTTGTACTAACTCAATCTATTGGACCCTACACTTCCCTTACCGGTACAAGGCTGCCACTCGAGAACCTTTTTTTCCCACCGGTTGTTGGTTCTTCGACAATGTGGCCGGCCCATTGTCACTTCATCATCATCATCATCATTACAGGACTTCACAAGTTCACTGATGAACATAGGCCTCCCCCAAGGAATGCCACTAAGCACGGTCCTGAGCCGCCTGTATCCATCAACTTCCTGCATGTCTCACCAGTTCGTCACTCCATCTAGTGGGTGGCGCCCTACACTTCGCCTACCGGTACGAGGCTGCCACTCGAGAACCTTTTTCCTTATCGGTTGTCGGTTATACGTTATTTAGTAAGTCTTACACATCATGAGGTTGCAACTAAAATAAATGTAGATAGATAGATCCTAGGTCCTGTGATAAAACATGCTAAATGGATGCGGTAGCATGTTATGTTGAACATATCTCTCGGGTTGCTTTTGTGTATAAGTGTTTTTATATAAAATTTAAATTATTTTTATATCCTCGGTTCCAGTTATGCAATGAAATTAACATTCATAAACAACCATTATAGCACTACAAATATAAGGCAGTTGTGGCCCAAAATTAAATATAAAAAGAATATTAAAAACGTATTAATCGTGTATAATTGTATCATAAATCCAAATAAGTATATATTATATGTGCCCCGTATATATAGAAAATATGTCCCTGTGTGTGTATGTGTATGTTATGCGTATGTATATATTTATGTATGTAAGTGTATATATATAATACATCTATGTATATGTATATAGTTTATATGTATGTAACATACTTAAAGTGGCCACTGAAAATCAGGGCTAAGATGACACATCTTAGCATTTCCTGAGTGGCAGTCCTATTTGGACTATATCCTATTTAAAAAAGTTTTTTTTGTTTTTTTTAGCAGTTTACTTTTTTTAATGTATTTTGTATCTATCTGCTTTATCAAAATGATTTATTTTTCATTTTAAGTGTATAATTAAGTCTACCTATAAGAATACCTAAACATAATGTTTGTTTTGAGTATTTAGTGCTAATTTGTTAAGAAATGGCCAAATAAAGATCTCTTTCTTTCTTTTTCAGTTCTCTCTCTCTTTCTCTCAGTTTCAGTTCAGACCTACCCAAGTCGAAATAATGACAAATCCTGCAGGGATGCTACTAAGAGACCTTTGGGTTTATTTCCTAGAAACAAGCTGCAATTGATCATGGGCTGGTAGTCATACAGTTATCCCATACGATCAATTGGACAAGAACTCGTCCCGTAAGTGCATGTTACCATAGGTATCGACAAAGACGAGCACGTACCTTTCTCGCCGATCTCGGTCTGATCTCCGCCGGGTAAAACGTCGAAGTCCGGCTTGAGCGCACAAACTCTGATCACGTTGTTATACTTCGCCTTGTCCAGCGGCTTGCCGAACAAAATGTTGTCTTGAAGCGTTGCGTTCTGTATCCATGCCTGCTGGGGCACATACGCTATGCTACCTGTATACATATATTTTGTGGGAAATAATTGAAGACATTCTGATTTGAATTATAGTCAAAATGGAGATGTCGTTGATACACTCGTACATAGAGACTTGATAGAGCCACGCTACAGCTATATTACGATTGTAGAACGAATGGGCCGGCTCGACTGGGGAAAGACACGGGTATTCTATGAGAGTGTGCTCACAGAATATCAGCGTTAAATAACAGTTTAACGCTGCTACTGTTTCTTATGGCGAGTGTAGAGAACCGGGGACCATTTTTTTACTGGAAAACAAGGCATTTCCATATAGTTCTCGGAGGTGACAATCTGCATTTTGATTCTTAATTGAAGACAGAAGTAGACGTATATGGGCTACAGCATCTACTTACCATCAAGTGGACCGTGTACTCATTTGTCATTCTTATTCCATTTAAAGACGTGATTAAATACATATCCGATCGTCTTTTTAAGATGATCATTTTATTTTATTTTAAGGAAAATAAAACCATAAGTGGTCACAACATAATTTTTAAAACAGTTTAGGATCCATGATTAATGGTTATAGCCACAAGTCTTAACATACGCCTCCGAGGAATAAGGAATGTCATAAAATAGTATAAAATAATTACTAAATGTGATTTTAGTTTGATCTTTTGAAGAGCCTACACTTGTTCTTGCACAATGGTCTTGAAGTTAAGCAATGAGAAGCGAATGTGTCCGTTTGACAGTTCTTTCGTACCGTGCAAGGTGCGAGCGTAGTCAATAACGTCGTTTCATTATTACTTACATCGTGTAAGTTGTCAGGACAAAGTGTGAAGCAAAACTTGAGGTGATGAGACGGTTTAACTTACTCGAAATGTTGTTCACATTTTCTCGTGGGCGCAATGATAAAATATCAAACATTCGCGCGCGCCGTCTAGTAAATTCAACCGGTTTATAGTTATCGCTAGAGACGATGGCGGGTTTTCGTGATATTTGTAATAATACATAGGAGGTAGATACACTAATAAGTTTGAGGAATGCAGGCCAAGAACGATAAAATTATGGCTTAAATTATGTCTATTAGTATTCCCTTTGGATTCAAATCAGTAAATTAACATGTTTATGGTTATGGGTTCGAAAAATTTGACAAAAATCTTCAAAAACGCAATTATTGCGCTCATTTTTCTCGAAAGCCGTAGAGGTTGAACTTCTTTTCTGCCCAGTAGTCTGTCCGGGTTTTTCTTTTTGTTTTTATAGGATAGGGTGACAAACGAGCACACAGTCCACCTGATGGTAAGTGGTTGCTGTGGCCCATAGACATCTACATCTATCCTCGATTACAAATCAAAATGCAGATGCGTTGTCACCCGTGAGGACTAAGATGGAATGCCTCGTTTCTCAGTAAAACGAGTCTCCGGTTCTCTACACTCACCATACGAAACACAGCAGCATTAAGCATACTTACCCATTCTTCTACAACTATACTACTAATATAACTGCAGCATGGCACCACGTAAACCAGTTACCGGGTTAGTACTAGTGCGTGTACTGTGTTCCGGTGTAAAGGGTATGGATAGGGGATGCAGATCGGTTCCCTCTCAAGAACCGCGACTGGATTTTTGGTTCTGGACTCAGAACCGGGATATCCCGGGAAATCTCGGGAAGTCTACGAAGGATACTGAAGTTTAAATATCGTTAATTTAACGGTGTCAAGGGCAGTTTAACTTTATATAATGATGTAAAAAATTAAAAATGGTTTTGTGTTTGTTAAAAAAATGAAACAATGTTATTTTTTTCCATAATGTATCTATTGATCACATTACAATCAGTCTTCTTTATTTTGTTTATCAAGCTTACATTTATTAAACGTCATATGAAATAAGATGAAACAAACATACTATGTAATGTAAGGCACATAAAGTAACCGAATATTAACATTATCTGTATTCATATCACAATATTTAAGAACAGTTAACAAAGCACAAATCTTAATATATATATATATATATATATATATATATATATATATATATATATATATATATATATAAAATTATTAAATTACGTGTCACGTTGTTTGTCCGCGACGGACTCCCTAAACTACTTAACCGATTTTGATCAAATTTGCACACCGTGTGCAGTTTGGTCCAACTTGAGAGATAGGATAGTTTTTTGCCACGAGTTACCCACAATTTTTTTTTGCTAATTTAAGGATTTTTAATAGGACATGACAGGGTCGTCGAAAAGGGCAGAAAACGCCTGCCTGTAATAAATTTAATAAATTTAACAAAACAATACTTAAAACTTCTTATTCGAAATCAATATACCTAAATTAAAAACAAACAAATAAAACTATGTACTTATGAAATTAGTAATACGTCTCTTTCGTTACATATTATTTTTTTACCTTATACAATAAGTATCATTAGACTATTCGATAATAATGTTAAATAAAATCAGGGAAAAGTTAGATAAAACAATTTTCGTCTCTTAGTGACGCGACACCTATTTAAATAAATCTCCTTATTTAGCTTTTAGAATAAATAGCTTTTTTCTCTTGATAATAAGGTCTTGCATTTACGCTATTGTCACTTAGTGACGTTCTCAGTTTATTACAAATCACTCCTGCTGACGAAAATATTCGCTCTGGTTCCATGCTAGTTGGTGGAGTCATTTTAAGGAAATCGTAGGCTTGCGATAGATACAGGCCACGGATTCCTTCATTTTCGAACAATGCCATTTCTATTTGGATACTAGTTAGCACATCAGAATCCTGTTCTCGACTTCGAGTTTGTTCCAGACCGAGTTGTTTCCAAAAAATCGACTCTCTCCAATAATTTATTTCATTTCATTGCTAGTTGGCCTACAAAAAATGGATGTATCCTCATTTTCAAGCACTTACATTTTCCTCGTATAATAAATAACGTAAATAGTTAGTAGATAGTTGTTACTTACCGTACTGAAGTTAGTCATGAAAAAGAACGCCTGAATCTTCGGAACGTACACGTGCTATACATGCTCACTCTGCTCATGTTCAATATGGCGGCTAACTGACGTTTTTTTTTACCCATTTTAACGGCCATGGTGAAAACCATTTTGGCCAACTGATGTTTAAATCAGCAATAGTGATGCGTCTCAAATAGGTTTTTACTCGAGTGACTCGAGTGGCATTGCGCTGAGTGAAATTCGAGTGGAAAATAAAATAAAAAATTCGAGTGAAAATACCCGGTGGTGGGACTTCTTTTCGGTCCTCCGGCCAGACCGGCTGGTGATTCTGACCACTTCAATGACTTGACCACTCGGAACGGAAACCACTCAAGTGAATCGTTCACTCGTGTGATAGTGATACTCGAGTGAAATGGCAAAATGACTCGAATATCTCGAGTGGTAAAAGCCGACTCGAGTCGCATCACCAATCAACAAAGACGTGGTGTTGCCATACTCAAATAAAAAATTATACTAAATTTTAAAATGATGTATGTACCGCAACAAATTTTTAATAAATGTGTGTCCTAAGTAAAATAATACAGTATAAGTATTTCCATTATTCTCTTTCATTGAACATGTAAAAAGATAGTTTATTTCGAATTTTTTTTATTAAAAGTGTGTTCTCTTTAAATAACATAACACGTATGTAGAAAGTACCGAAAGTATCGAAAGAACCGGAACTAGGTCGCCGAGGAACCGGTACCGGATCGATTTGTAAATTCCGGAACTGAAAATCTCGGGAATTCCCGGGAGCATGCCCTAGTATGGAGCAACTGTAGCCTTCTTAGTTTGAAGTTGGTTACGAATGTCCATAAACGGCAGTTCACTACCATCAGGTGAACTGTATGATAGTCACTTCCGTGTTTAAAAAAATGAGGTGAACTGTTAGTTTGTTGTCTTTTCAATGATGTTAGGTTTATACATCTAACTTCATCCACCCATCCATTACAGCTAATATCCAGTGCTGAACTTAGGCCATTCTCGTAGATTGCCTCGTGGGGAATTTGCCATAGTTGCCAAGCTTCACAGGAGGATTGGCAGCCCCAGTTTTTATTATTTTAGTTGTTACCAGGAAGATGTTGTTGCCCTTATTCTGTTTTAATTTCCCTCTGTCGTCTTTTACGACACCCACGGGACGATATGGAGGGGGGGGGGGGATTTTCTTACACCGCAACGAGACGGTTCATCATTTAATTTATTTTTAATAAACTTACCGAGCGTGTTAATCCGGCCGGAAATCTTGTCCATTTCGCCCAGAAATGCAGCGAGCAGCGAGCTCTTGCCGGAGCCGACGGCGCCCACGACGGCCACGAGCGAGCCTTGCGGGATGCGCACACTTATGTTGCGCAGCACCGGCTGCTCCCCGCCCCATGTGAATGTACAGTTCTCGATCACAAGCGGGTCAGCTACGGCAAAACAAGCCCTTTTACTGTTTCCTTCAAAAGCGACAGTCAAAAACAAACATCGCAAAAACAAAACCTCCTATTACAAAATCTGTTGAGACCGAAATTAGCCTTGAAAAATGCTAGAGATACGGAGACAATTACAACACGGCCAAATGAAAAACTAATTATTTGTGTGAATTCACAAATGTACACTTTGATTCGAACCCAGAACAAGTGGCTTAGTATCCCAATTATCTGACTACTAGGCCACTCGGTCTTAATACAATGTCCTCACGAAACATTCACGACGACCGTCTTAATCTTTATAGAGAGATTAAAATATTTTAAAGATGTTCCTTAAGATCTAATTGTTACTTTAACGATATTATATATAGATGATAACGATATTATATGAGATATAGGTAGGGATAGGGTATAGATAGGCTTTCTCTCGGTTCCGAGGTTTTGGGCCAGGGAGAAGTCTGCAGCACTGCCTCGATCTGTGTTGACGGTCTTGTCCTCGAAGTATTTAGTATCTTTCGAACAAGCATAGGAATAAAAATTAATTACATTTGTGGTGACTGGAGTCGGGCGCTCGCATAAAATTTCATACTATTCGAAAATCCCGAGTTCGATACGAATCGACACGAAAATATTTCTAAGTATATGTTTAGGTTTAGGTTTAATACATCATTTATTTCTCAAAAGATTACAAATCGCTTACGAGAAATAAAAAATTTACAAACAATAATTCGCAGATTCGCAATATGGCAGGATTGAAAGATGACCTTATCACAAAAATTGATAGGGGTGTACTCCAATGGTTTGGGCACGTTGAACGAATGAGTGAAGACCGAATGGTGAAGAAAATATATAGAGCGAAAGTAAATATTAAAAGGTGTCGAGGCTAACTTTCGAAGACCATGTAAGCAAATTGCTCGAAGAGGGGAGGGTCAAGAGTACTCGGAAGTTAATGAACCTGAAAGAAGCAAAAGAGGTATGTAAGGATCGTGACACTTGGCGATCTGTTCTCTCTGGCTACCCCGTTAGGGATTGTGCGTGAAGATAAGTAAGTAAGTAAGTACAAACAATAATAAAGGAATCCATTACAAGCATACAGAATATTAACTATAGATGTGGGTAAAACGTAAACAATTAAAAGAACAGTAAACATTTAGACGGAACAATTAATGTAACCGAAACAGAAATAAGGGTGCGTATACAAACTAAGTTAGATTTAATTTTTAGCTTGTATTTTTTTTTGTTAATTTTCCAAAATATGGCATTTCAATAAGTTTTTAAATAAAGATAACGTTTTTGATTCTTTTATACTTTTAGGTAAAGCGTTATACAGTTTTGCACCGTCAAACATTATATTTTTCTTACCATACTCTGTTCTAACTTTTTGTATGTATATATCATGAGCACGTCTAAGGTTACGATTGTGAAAATCTATATTTTTTTCAAACAATATTTGCGAATGAATGTCGTTTTTAAGTATTTTACGTATTAATATGCAAGTGTTATATTGATATATTTGTGATATATTTAATAATTTGGTTTCTTTATACATGAGACGGTGTCAAATATTTATAATGAAAAAGTACCTTGATTAATTTGTTTTGGGTAGTTTGCAGTCTACGTAAATTTGTTTTGTGTGCTGTTCCCCATACCTCGATTAAATAGTCAATATGTGGTTTGACAAGTGTATTGTATAAAATATATCGAACATTTAGTGGGAGACACCCTACTATATTTCGCACACTTCCTAAAAAAGAAGACAATTTAGAATTTATTTTCTGAATGTGTGGCTTCCACGTCAACCTGTTATCTAATATAAGTCCTAAGTATTTTTCCTTACTTGCATTATTTATATGTGCACCATTTATTGTGAGAGGTGAAAAGTCTGGTATCTTTTTGTTTTTTAGCAGAAAAGATGACATAGTTAGTTTTTGATACATTAATAGTTAACAAATTGCATGGGAACCATTCCTGCAAGAGGTTAAGGTCTTTCTGGGCCTCCTCTACGATTAAATTGATGCTGTGTCCGAAATAAAAAAGCAAGTATAATATCCCAACTACTGTTTTTGAAAAAGGTCCCAAAATTGACCCTTGAGGAACACCGTATTAAACAGGTTTAGGGCTGCTAACATGTTTATTTATTTTAACTACTTGAAAACTTGTAAATTGAAAATTTCTAAGTATTGTGATGAAAACTGCATGTTAGAAATACTTTAGTCCAAAACACTTCAGGCCGTGTGGTGAATTCTTATCTGCTTCGAGTCAATGCCATGCCATCGATATACCGACAATTATTTTCCTCGCTCTATATACTTTCCAGTTATTATTTTTATATATTGTTGTTTAATTATTTTTAGTCATTGATCATAGAAATGTACGAACTAAGTGCATAAAAATACTCCAATTTGGGGTAGGTCACAGAGCAGAAAGCCACTATGAGCGAAACATTTCCGTTATTATGTACATATTTTCAAATGTTCCTGTTTCTACTAAATGAACTTTTTTGGAATGTGCAATGAATGAGAATTGTATTGATGATGTACTTATAAAGCCCCATGTTTATCTAGACTTTATTGGTCCTATATTTATGTAGGATTTACGGCAAAAAGAAATGTGCTATGTTAAGTTAATGTAAGCGATGGGCTAGCCGTCTATAACTTCTTTCACAATTTCCCATCTAAACCCATACTTATTAGTCAGATGTGATTTGAGTAACTCGCTGCTCTTGAAATTTGCCTACAACTTCGGAGATAATTGCGTAATGCTATTATCAATTTTGTGCTTATACATATAATTTATTTACAATAATGTGATTATAACAAATTACAATTTTATTAAAAAGCGCAACGTTTATCTGAAATAGGCGGTGACGTAGCTAATGTTTTTCGATATTCTGCAAAGGTAAGAATCAATTCTCATTCCATTTTTAATATCAACATCTCAATTTCAAAACATTCAATTTTTTATGACTGTCTTATATAACGTTATAATATCGGATCAGTTTCATGTAAAAAATACCTCTTGTTTACATGATATTAATTTGAGTGACACAAGTTGGTATTAAGTATAGCATTACGGAGGTAATATTTCCGGGTGTGATAACTATTACCATAGTATACAAAAGAGGCCACTGATTTGATTTAATTAAAATTAAGATAAGATATTGTCAAGATGAGCGTAAAGTAAATGACATTGTTTGCCTTTAAAACGGCTATACAATTAGGGCCACGCTGCAGCTATATTATGGTTGTAGCATGAATGGGTCGACTCGACTGGGGAAGGACCACGCTCTCACAGAATACCAGCGTGAAATAGCAGCTCAATGCTGCGTTTCGTATGGTGAAAGTAGAGAACCGGAAACCCCTTTTACTGGAAACAAGTAATTCCATTTTAGTCATCAGGGGTGACGACGCATCTGCATTTATATTTTAATTGAGGATAAATGTAGATGTCTATAGACGACAGTATCCACTTACCATTAAGGGGACTATGTCCAAAAACAGATTGTAATAGCATGGACACACAGTTGCTGGCAAATTATTCCACTCCTTTGCTGTACGCATTATGAACGACAAAGCAAACCGAGCGGTTCCAATGCATGGAATGACAAAAAAAGGCCGAAACTGATCCAGTGCCTGGATGTCCGATGGAGAATTGGAGTGGAAGGAGTTAAGCAATGTAATTCCTGCGCATTACTTTCGAAATGTATCCTGTAGGACGCCAAAAGGTTATTCGCGGCTGTGTTCGAAACTGGTACCTAGGATTGGCTTTAATCGGACTGAGGTCACCAATAAGCTTCTTAGCACGCCTTGCAATTGAGTTCAAAGCTGCTAAGTTCCATTTTGAAGCATATCTTTGACAGCAATACTCTATGCCGATCGTGCACTTGCGCGTTATAGGAAATAAGCAATCGTCCCGGGTCCCGGCGTTAAGTAACGCCGCGGCTTTGCAAGGGCGTCTAGCTTCCTTCCAGCTGCTTTGTTGTTCAGAGTCAAAGAAATCTTCACCCCCAGTTGCGAAGGCGATCGGTTCATTTCAATTTTGATTGGCACAACTCGGCAAGAAGAAGCTAGGGTTAGCTTTCTAAAGGGTTACTAGCAACGTCTAATAATAACTAGATAGTTAAAAGCTGAAAAATAAATTACAAACTGCGGTTGCCAAATCGCACGCACGCGCATGTGCGATTTGGCATGTGCATTATTGATTTGCCATGCGTGCGTGCGTGTGCATGCGTGTGTGCGTGTGAATGTGTATGTGTGGTTGTGTCATTTATTTGACATATATATTATATGTGCAAACATTGAGGAGTTACTGGTAATACCAATCTTATCTTAAGACAGCCACTGCTAGAGATGAGATAATAGATTATTTTATGATATTACTTAATATGTTAAGTCATTATGATTATGAAATTTTAAACTCAAATCTACCTACAATATTAATAACACAAACAAATCAATTTTACATAAAAATAACAACACCTTGACCGCAAAATAAGATACATTAAAGTAAATAGGTGCTAGTACAAGGTATTTTTTTATAAATATTTGAAGCATTAATAACAATAAGAGTAAAAATAAAGGTTGATATCACATTTATTCTCGTTAATAACTTAAAACTTGTTTAGACTTGAAAGTACACATATTAAAAAGCTTTATTGAAACAGGAATAACAAACTATTTACTATGCCTTTATTTTATTAGTTCCACAATATGTATTAAATATTAAATACATTGTGCTGTGCGGTGGGCGGCTTACCACCCATCATCCTATTCCATCCCGCGGGTATCAAAAGAGGGAACTATTGGATGTTACGTCAGAAAAATATTGTGGCATCAGGTATTTAGCTATAGGTATAACCATCCCGTCTGCGCCAGGCGTAAAAAACCCCAGACCGGCAATATAAAGTCGCATCAAATGTGCGAAACGTCAAACGTGACGACTATGGTACTTTATGTGGTAGAGCTACGCTTCAGCTATAATAATTGTAGCACAAATGG